TGTCACTTCATAAGGATCGAGCCGTAAAAGTACAAAGTAGATAAACCAAAATCTCCACTGTTGCCATTAACACACATCAGGTATCCAATATTACAAGTTATAGCCGTGGTGAAGCATATATGCAGATTCGGCAACGCTACAACATGCTTATAGCTTATGTGTAGTATATATCACCAGGAAATCATGCACTTTATTTTTCTGCACGCCACGCATTTGCTGAGATGTACCCACTCACAGAGGATGACGCCGAATGTATTTTTACCTTGACTACAATGTCAGATCGTAAAGTTTCATCGACAATCGGTTAGTGAAACCGGCCCACAATGAATACCAGTGTTTTCGCAAACAGGACGCATCGCATTATTCACACTGCAGACACCATGCACAATATTCCCAGTTTCACCGTCCGTAAGGATGAACCAATATTGTCGATGCCTTTCAACGCACACTACACGCCACAGTCAACACTGCACATTTTCGAAGATGCTGCTGTTCCTCGCACAGGCCACCACGTGTGTTCACTTCTCGTAGATAAACAGCCAGCCAGCGTGACGAATATTTCCTCACGCACTTTATCACACACCTAGATGTTGTCTAACACATGCCACAGCTAATGTTGCCACTGTGAGATGAAGATTAAGCTTTAAAAAAGAAAAAAATTGCCCCAAGCCCCGAGCGACTGCACTCCACTCTGCCACCAGCGGGAGTGTTTTGCCAACCACCACCATGCACGTGCACCGGTGACGTACCCCGGTAGAGGTCTATTGCTAGAGTAAATTTTCAGACACCTATTAGCTCACGAAAAATCTATAAACAGCGGTGGGTTGTGTCGAGCAGACATTTCGACAAGCGGTCTTGCCTTGGCTAGAACAGAACAAAACTGTTCTGTTCTAGCGTTGAGAAAAACAAGCCCGCTTGCCCGACACAACCCCAGTTTACAGATTTTTTTTCATCATAAGGTTCCATCCACCCCTTCCTGTCGTTTTTGGAATACTGTGTTCATTACACACGAATGATAATATTGCAATGTGCTGCACGCTAATCAAGCATAATGGAGTAAAAATAAAATTGCATCACTAACAGATAGCCCCACCATATTTAATAGACAAAGCCAATGATACAATTTAAAACCATAGCACTTCATTATAAGATGACGGAAGATCAGTTGACTGCAGATTTTTTTAAAGCCAGATTTTTCAGACATGGTAGTAAATTCTGACGATTTCATGACAGCATCACAAGCCCTATCAACGTCTGACCACTGTTACGAAGCGCTCCGCCGACGAGGTTACGAGGAGCGCCACGAAACTCGCCGCTTACAAGGACACCGGCCGCGCCGACAGCGAAAGGGCTCGAAGCAAAGAGAGGCTTCCCTGACACATAGGTCTAATATCTGAAAATTTTGACGCTGTAACTCTTCGGCGTCAGACTTTTGGGGCTTTCAGCTGACATTCCAGGTATGAAACAGCATTACTTAAAAGTTCCTACCGTTGCTCATGAATGCCCTTGTAGGCTTAAATGAGCGCTTTCAAAAGACGTTCGACGTCACAATAATGTTCAATTGTTCATATACATCGTGATAGTGCTTATGCATTGCGGCTTTGCCGCAACGCATAAGCACTACGCGGTGAAGCAGATAAAAATTCTAAGGAGCTGGTATTATCACGGAGCGAGGGGATGTCTAATGGATAAGCACTGGAAATGCTCAGAGGCGTGATGGCGATAAACACGTAAGACTTGATCGCTTTGATAAACATGCCAAGAAGATAAGGGAAACAGGCTGCCGCACCGACGCATTGAAAATGTCATTTTTTCCCAGGACGATAGTGCGGTAGAATAGGTTGCCTTCCGAAAGAGCAAAGGTTACTTCACATGAAGTATTTTCAAGATTACTTCAGAGCCTAAAGTAGTGTACTCGCGAGGATGTGTAGGGACGAGACGGTATTGTAAAGCTGCTTTGTATTGTCTACTCCCACGTGCCGCTATGTATAGTTGACAATGAATTACGTTATTATTGTGTTGTAGAAGTGCCAGTATCTGTATTCAGTGTTGAAATTTTAATATTCTTTCCTCCCCACTGTAATGCCCTTGGGTGCTGTAGGTACTATGATAAATAAATAAACCTCCCAAGCTAACTCCTTGTTACTGCATGTGGCACGGTTGTCGGCGTACTGCACGCTGTTAATTACTCACACGCACCGCCATTCATGCTGCCTTTTCCTACGAAAACAGCTTGCCATCGGCGAGCCCATGTGTTATCAGGAATGGAGTGGGCATCAAGAACACTTTTTAATGACGAACGTGTGCGTACGAAAGCGCCCCGATAGGAACGGCGTAGGCGATGTGCTGCACACAACTAGAAACGATCGGTCTCGTGTGACAGCAAGTGCAATGTGTCACCGGAGATTTTTGTACACTGGCGCATCTTTCAAGTACACACACTCATCGCGGAGGTTCGGACAAGCATTCCTCTATTCTGCCATATCCTTTATGTTCTGCACCATTTCCACACGCTCTAGGCGATACATCTGCAACTTATTCCGCGCTTTGCTAGTACTGTATTGGCAACACTCGCCACATGGCGAATACAATAAAACCTTCCTAATTCGAACTCTGTTATTTCGAAATCTCGCTTAATTCGAAGGATTTCCACGGTCCCGTATTTTGCAAAGCAAATTTAAGTGCATAATTTGAAGCGGCGGCCGGCAACAATCTGGTTAATTGGAAAACAATCTGGCAATTGGAAAAAGAGCCATGTGCCAGTTCCACATCCCAATCATGCCGCGAATCCGCGGAACAACTGCTATTAATAGCCCCAAGGCAATGCAACGAATCGTTACTAATGAGTGGCAGCGGAAGCACCCCAGCCTCGCTACTTCCAGCACCAAAAGAAAAAAAGAAGAAAAAACGGTTTCGTGGTCAACCAAATTGTGTGCCTGCAGAAAGCGAGCTATGCTTCACTGCAACACAGCAGTGACACACGGGCAGCTTGTCACATGTTTCTTGCAACATGGGGTTGTAAATAAATTAATAAAGGACAGCTTAGCGGAAATCACGATGTATGTGAACCTCCGATTGCCCCAGCAATTCGAGTCTTTGCTAGCAACCCCTACTTCGAAAGTTTCAAAGATCATATTTTCCACCCAAAACGCATCGTGAGCTTCGTCACACTGGCGAATATTAAATTCAGTTATAATAGAAAGAATGTGCGAATGGTCGCATCATGACGTGCTGACGGAGCGAGGAGCAGGCGACATGCTGCCCGCATGTCACGACTGTGTTGCGGTGAAGATGCGTTTTCTGCAGGCGCACACTTCCGACGATCACGACCGCTTTTTTTCTTTCTTTTTTTTTCGGTGGCAGCAGTGAGGCTCAACATTCCTCCATGTTCGCGGCAAAATAAAGACCAGATATTGCTAGAAAACGTGACCTTTGGAGCCACAAGCTCGCCGGCACAGCAAACAACGAGCACTGACATACTTTGAATAGTTTTCCAAGTACCCTGCATACCACTTCTTGTATGTTCTGTTGATTCAAAAACCCGCTTAATTCAAAGCCACTGGGGCAGCGAGAAAGCTTCGAATTAACGGGGCTTTACTGTATTTGCAAATGAACGTCGGCAGGCCCTGAATGTATTTACGACAGCCTGAGCGTGCACTGAAATGCCTGATAAGTGTATTCTAGGAGGCATTGAAGCTATTATAGATATGGCTGCGAGGATTTGATTACTTGAACGGAATAAAAAGTTATAGACTATTTCCCAGTCCCTAGACGTCCGAAAATTCTGGCATTAACTGCGGCCCAACCATCCATAGTCCCAACAGTGACATTTGGCCCTGTTTGGCTTGGCTCGAATTGCGGCTTACACAGGTGCACCCCAATTTTATTTTCAACAGGAGAACCTGAAGTAGTTTGGTTTCTGCAAGTCTGAGCATTCCCTTTGGCACAGGTTGGGTGCAGACTAGCCAGATTTTAAGGGAATGTAGTTGCGCGAAGCAGCCAAAGCAAACCGGCACAGCGGTAACATCGCTGATTCAACCCGACAAAGCACTAATTGACCTCTCATTGCTTTTCACAAAGCTGCAAAGGGTAGATGGCCAGTTAGTAATTATTGACATCCATTAAAACGTTCCACCAGTTTTGAGCTGAATTGAAATACCTTACATGTTTCTTTTCTCACCAGCTTTATATAGCAATGGAACATCACGCAAGATCATAGCGCCTGCAGAGGTGGTGTCTCGGACAAATTCAAGCATGCAGCAGCAGAGCGCCAGACAGCACAGGGAGTGAGAACTTAACGCTTTTTACATTGCACAACCACGATCCACTTATTTCGCTGCCAAATAAAGCTTGAACGAGCTGAGAAGTGTCATTCCTGCAAGATAAGACGTGTACCTGTTAGTACAATAATGTGCCAGCGGGCGTTGAAACGAGCGTTTCGTTTTGCTCGGGCTTTCAATGACTGTCTGCTCTGACGGCCACGAAGTGGCGCGCCAATCACCATGCACGAAGTGTATGGCTTTTCCACTTCTCTGTCCTCACGACTATATGTTGGGGCATACACCTGTACTAAAATTTGAGTTTGTATTGCTAGTTTAATGAGGCTTGCTACCTTTTCGTTGATACTAGAGAACTCTTCGTGTTGCATGCAAGGTCTTTGCGAATTAAAAATTGACATCAGATAGTCCCCTGTCAGGAAGTCCTCCATAGCACACGACATGTTTGGCATTTAGTACAGTGCATGCCTCCTCGGTAATTTTGGCAAGATCGATATTTCAGTTAATTTTTTCTAGCAGCTGAAGTAACTTTTCCAGCCCAACTTTGCCTCATAAGGTTCTCATGTCAAAAGTTCAAAGGTTCAGTTTCCAGTAATGGCCTGTTTGAGCAAAGGAACCTTTAGTGCCCCCTGCTTCTTTACATGTCTGGCGGCCGCCATGGTCAGATGTTCAGCAGCTGCTTGGTGTCCAAGGGCCAGGGCATAGTAAAGAGGCTCATTCTTCAGATTCCTGGAGCAACTTTTTTTTTTATTCCCCAAGCGATAATACAATGCTTGCCTCAACGGTTGGATTTTGCAACACGCTCGAGCTCGTCCTTCTTCTTGATCGCGTAGCTGTTGGACGAACCCTGCAAAGTGAACGCCAGGGGATCGCAGTTAATTTTGACATAATATTGAAGCAACAGCATCACCCTTTTCCTTCAATGTACAATTTCAATGAGAACACCGTATTGTTAGTTCCAAGTCTCTCGTATATAGAGCACAAATTGCTGAGGACTGCAAGGCCAACATGCCAATTTATCTTCAGTACTTTGCCAACCTGCTATTTTGTTGCTGCTAAGAGACACCAAAGGCCAAACAGTTTGGTTAACAACACACAAGAAAAAGACCACACACTGCCAAAAACCAAGGCCTTCAACCAAATCCTTTCCTTGTAGGATGAAAAATTTTACACACACACACACACACACACACAGTGCCGAGTAAATAGTCTGGGCATGCGTGCAGGCCCCAAGGAGGCACGCGCCATGATTTTTGGTGCCCAAAACGTGAAGACACATGCAGACCAAGTGACATCTAGTGCCACAAACATGCAAATGTTTTGTCTACCGGCATGCAGCGAACAATTTCAGAGACCAAGAGCCACCAGTTTTGATTTTAGTGATCTCCACTTAGGGTGCTCTTAGGACTAGGAAAAGGCCCATTAACACTGTTGTGCAATAAGACAGCAAATTGGACAAGTGTGTATCTGTTCGTACTCCAGCGAAACAGCATTTTTGCCCATTGCACAATCCCAAAGCAAGCGCAATTTTTTTTACACATTTCTCCTCACAAAATACTAAAGCTTCTCGTAATGCAACCATCTAATCACTTGTAAACAGGAACTTGCAGATGGCAGCAGTCATGCAAAACTAGTGAAGATGCATGCAAACTATCAATACTTGCATAATTTGCAGACCCCTGAAGTATGACCGATTCAATAAAAACGCCCGACAGTAAGTCATGCCATGTTGTGCCTTCTGCCACACAGTGCACATACATGCTCTGCACTGGGAAACGATTTACTCCAACTAAAAAGTACATAAAAAGGCGTAAACCCGACGATTCGGAACTGACTTGGTTCCTCGAAGGGGGGAAAGGAGGGTTTTGAGAGATGAAGAGGAGGGTTTTGAGGGCACGGTTAATATTTTGGGCCGTTCGCTGCATATGCCACGACTACAAATAGAGTCGTGGCATATACAGCCATGAATCGGTCCCCGTGAATAAAGAACCAAGTCTGTTCCGAAACGTCAGGTTTACGCATTTTTACGTACTTTTTGGTTGGGGTTAAAATCGTTTCCCAGTGTAAACCAGACATACATCTGTCAAATGTTTACATTCATGCTCTGCACTGCGCCAAGTTCAAGGATTCTGAATCGGGGGAGATTTCCTTAACGGGGTGGGGCTGATTTATTTGCTTCTAGTTTTTTTATTTTTCCGGCACAAAAGAACAAACCTCTCGAAAAACAGGGGGGGGGGGGGGTCTCAATCGCAAGCGCCACAACCGTCAGCATTGCAGTTTGATGGTGGCTTAGAGTGGCCAAATACACAAAAGAGTAGGATTTTCCACTAAGGCGTAAGTTTCAAAAGATCAACACAACTAACAGAATCTATTTCCCTGAAAACAACTCGCTTATGTTTTCAGAGGACACACGAGAACGGACGGGACGGCACAGCTGGCTGCCGCAAAAGCGCAGGCCAAGCTTTGTTCACTGCTATATTCTTACTTTTGACAGGAACGCCAAAATGTGTCTGGCCCTTTGTATTCATTACGATGGCAATTTAATGAACCATCTAGGCTGGTTTTCTTGCTGTTGCCGCAGTCATGTATGCGTATATATAAATGAACACTAAAAAAAGAAAAAAAAAAGCCCCAGCTCGCCACGATCTGATCCGATGCGCACTTATCTTTCACAGGTATTTTGCCCCACGGAAGGGGGGGAAGGATTCAGATGCTGGTGCGCGCGCTTATCTTTTGGTGGGGAGAATCGTGTGCCTTCGGCTTTTACTGGATCGATTGTGTTAGTTGCCAAGCCCACAAAGGTCTGCACAGGCCCAGTTTGCAAAAGAGCACGCGTTTCATACACAGCGAGGTATAACAACTGGGACACTTGTTAGTTTGTACTCATCAGTACCTGTGATTACGTATGGTGCATAGTTTTTGTTTAAGGGGGGACGCGGCACTTCGGGACCGAAAATCAGCCAAAAAATCGAGTTTTCGCGGACCTTTTCGCGTTCCCGACATCATTGCGCACCTATTTACAAAATTTCACAGCCGAATACCATCAACTTTTATCGTTATTCAACTTTAAAAAACCGAAAACGGGCGTCCTGCCCTTTAAATTGAGGGCGAATAGCGCAGGTTTCGGCTCTACGATACGCGGGAACTACGCGCTCGATCGGCACTATTTTGGTCTTGTTTGAAAGAACGCGTTTTCAGCTGTTTTTTTTATTCAGTAAGCAACATTGAGCGTTTCCCCGGCTCGAAAAACGGGGCCTCAAAGACGAAGAGCCACGCTCACTGCCATTGGCTAAACGGCGCACGTGACTGAAATGGCGCTTTCCGGTTGGCTGGAAGCTCGCGGCTTGCGCCTGCATACGCGACCCGACGCCATTTTGAAAGGGTTACCGCTGTGACGCCTCGAAATCGGCAGAGCACTCTGAAGCTTCTGATCGTATCGCCATGCCTGGAAACGCAAAAAAGTATTGGACCGTGCACGCATTTGGTCGCAGGAAACGCAAAGGTCGTGGGAGAAAGTCTACGAAGTCATCAGAGCCCTTGGTTGACTCCGACGAACGATGTGTCGACGCTCCGCGGCCGTTCAGCGATGGTGCGACCGAGCGCGTTGCCTCCGACGACGATGACGGCGAAGCGAACTCCGGACGACTACGAATCGACGCCAAGGTGGTGACAAACGCCGAAGTTGAAGAAAATCATGCCCGGGAGAAAGCGACGCTCGACCGGCTTTCATCGGCGCCAGCAACTGCACGGAAAATTGACTTTTTCACCGCGAGTTGTAGCGAGGCAACCGCACAGGACTCGGACCACGCTGCTCCTTATCTGCTTATGCATCTAGATATCCTAAACGCGATAATGGGTGCCTTGTGTTGCAAAGCCTGCCACGGACCGGCTACGATCGTCAGAGGGGATCGGGACTACGGACTTGCCGTGAAAGTGCTAGTGCAGTGTGAAAGGTGCGGCGAGATCGCGAATGAATGGACTTCGCCCCGCGTGAACGGCACGAAAACGTGCAATCCGTTTGAAGTAAATCTTCTCGCTTCGAGGGCGATGGTGGCTACCGGCAACGGCCAAACGAAAATGAACGATATTTTCGCAACAATGGGCATCTCACACCGCGGTATGCACCACAAGACGTTTCAGCGGCATTTGAAGAACACGCTGGCACCCGCTGCAACGCGAGCGGCTGAGTCCGCTATGAGCGAATGTGCGGAAAAGGTTAGAACAATTTATGATGACTTGTGCTTCGGCCACCGGGGCAATATTGCCGTTAGCTACGACGGCACGTGGAAGACGCGAGGCCATTCTTCCCACATCGCCGTGGGCACAGTTATCGAATTATTTAGTGGCTACGTGTTGGACTACGTCGTTCTTTCCAACTTTTGCCTAGGCTGCGAGGTGGGCCCAAAGCCTAGTAGTGAGGGCTATCAAGAATGGAAGGCTAACCACAAATGCCAAAAAAATACGAACAGCAAAGCGGGGCAAATGGAAGTGGAGGCGGCTCTAATTCTATTTCAGAGGTCGCTTGAACGCCATGGCCTGCGCTACACAACTATGCTGTCTGATGGAGACTCTGGGACATTTTGCGCCATACAAGACGCCAAGGTGTATGGTTACATTGACGTGCAGAAGGAAGACTGTATTAATCATGTACAGAAACGGATGGGCACCGCATTGAGAAACCTGGTGCAGAAACAAAAGTGCGATGGGAAAAGAGGCCTTGGTGGGAAAGGCAGGCTCACAGGTGAGCTGATCACCAGGCTGAGCACATATTATGGCCGGGCTCTGAAATCGCATGAAGGTGACGTGGGCGAGATGCAAAAGGCTGTGATGGCCACATACCGCCACGTCACCTCCACTGATGAATGCTCGGACCACAGTCTGTGCCCAGCTGGTGAAACTTCACGGTGTCGGCACAATGCCGCAAAAGCAAAGGGTGAGCCCGACCCCAGGCATGCCTACAATCTACCGAAAGACGTGGCAGAGGCATTACTACCGGTTTATACCCGGCTTTCGGAAAGAGCCCTGCTTCAGAGGTGCGAACGCTGCAAAACGCAGAACTCCAACGAGAGCCTACATTCGGTAATCTGGAGTTTGGCCCCCAAGGAGCACCATGTGTCCCTGTTCGCTGTTGAAGCAGCTGTTGCAGAAGCAGTGCTGCGCTTCAACACGGGCAATTTGAATTCTGCAACGGCAATCTTAGGTGAAATGGACATGAATGCGACAAGTACTGGTGCCAGGAGAGCGAGAGAAAAAGACCACCGTCGCAGCATTGTCTCCAACAAGAAAAGAACAGCCTCATTGGAACTCCGGAAGCTAGTGAAGAGGAGGCATGAGCACAGAATGCATTCAGACTATGCTTCTGGTGCGTTTTGAGGTTGTCTTGTTGCATCTTCTGCAATAAAATGTGTGCCCACGTTTTTTCTCGATTTCTCAAAACGACAATTTTCATGTGCTTCCCATTATGCCGGAGCAATATCTCTTGTTCTATCTGGGTTATCATTACGATTTCTTTTTTGTTTCGAAGATAAATGCAGGGGATGTGTCGTAAAGTAAGTTTTATTGTAATAATTTTTGGAGAAAATTCTCTAAATGGATCTTTTGTTTCAAGTGTAGATGGGGAAATTTTTCATGTCATATTCAACATCCCACAACTTTGCTTCGAAATAGCCCAGAACAATGATTTATACTTTATTGCACACTGTGAACATACCGAATTGGTTCTATAGGTTGCACATCAATATCCAAGTTACAGTTAATTAGCTAATTAGGCCTTAATTGAAAAAGTCGCAGTTCGTTATATCTTTAAAACTAATTGTCACAGCAAAAAAAGAATTAGATTTTTGAAATCAGCAGTAAAATCTACATAGGCTCTCCAAATTTGGCTGAGGTACTCGCAAAAATAAAAGAGTTTTTGGAAGGTGTAGCATCCCCCCTTAAACACTGTTACATATCGAGCGGAAAATCTTGTTAGCTTGCTCTCGTCCTGTGTGTATAGTTTTCGTGCATCTGTGAGAGAGCAGCGCACTGCACGTTACGATCTGCTTGCCGTTCTTAGCGTGACGCTCCAAGTTGTTGCTGTCGCATTCATTGCTTCGCCCTTATGGCAAACCTGCAACTTTTTTATGTATTTGCGGCCTTTAATCTACTGCTGCGTGCCCTCAGAGCTTTTAGATCGCTATCGTGTCGCCGCAACCGCGGTTTTGTGCACGGTGGTTGCGGCACACGGTAGTTCCTTTTAAAATCCTCGTGCGCTTGTATGCGCAGGCACCAAAAATAAGTCTGTTTATGCGATCCAAGATCGCATCTGCCGCAGATCTGTCCGCAGAGTTTGAGGAAAGCAGCTCCGATTTGACTGGTTGAGTACACACTTTCGGGGTTCTGTCAGTTACGTCGTCGCCATACATTATCGTGTCAACAGCGACCGCAGTTTCGTCCACAGTGGTTGTGGCAAAGACAATCACACCCACTGTAAAAGACAGTGCGTGCGCCGGTCGCACGCATACTTCCGAAGCTTCGAGTACGTTGCTCTTGCCCTTCGTTCGACGGTTTTCATACTGAAGTTCGTATCCCCCGCCGCTGTTAGAAAATAAGTTCGGAGCATTCAAATTTAGGCCCAATGGACATAAAAAAATTTGGCAGGAGATTTCCACAAATTCGTATCTACCGCGGTTTTGCATCACTGAGATTCTACAATACGTTTAGATGAATGCTTCTTAAACTCATTTATAATAAAATTGGTAAGGTTCGAAAAGCCTGGAGCGGATTGAGCTGCTTTTTTGCCAATGCGGCCAAATCACGCACAGAAATTTCGATTTCCACGACAACCGTACAAACGGTAAAAACAGTCGAAATCCGGGAGTCTCCCGGCTAATCCGGGAGACTTGGCAGGTACGCACTATCCCCTGATCAAGGTTACAGGCAATGTGGGCCTGGAAAAAAACGCATACACTCCCAGTCTGCTGCCATGTTGCGCATCAGTTTTTATATGCTTCTTGGCATTCCCATTGTGCACTACTTTATGGTTATGCAAGTAAGCCACAATTTAAGAAAAAAGTGAGTAAAATTGATAATAAGCATTGTGTATTTCAAGCACTGGCCACAAGAATACAAGCTCACAGACATGAAATTTATAGAAACAAAAACAAGTACAATCTGTATTCCTTGTTTTTGCGTTTTGCAATGAGACAGCACATTTAAAAACATCAAGCGAGTATCCCGCCACTCATGTAGCTTAGGCATACTTAAGTGCTTCAAGACTGACCTTGGCTGCATTTATCAGCTCATCAGCCAAGCACTCTGCAATGGTTTTGATGTTGCGGAAGGCACTCTCACGGGCACCTGTGCAGAGCAGCCAGATGGCCTGGTTCACCCGGCGCAGTGGCGACACATCAACGGCCTGACGACGCACTGTGCCAGCACGCCCAATGCGTGTGGAGTCTTCACGAGGTCCACTGTTGATAATGGCATTCACTACGACCTGCAATGGGTTCTGTACCAAAAATCAATTATCCATTACCCATGTGTCCAAGCATTGCACTTGTAGGCTACACGTTTTATCACTGAATATGACAAAGTAGTTTCTTATTCTCCATGTGCCACTTTGACAAAGCTTTCAAGCAACAAGATTCAGTAGTCATTATCCAGTGTGTAACACATTGATGTCATTCGTAAAACAGATATGAATAAAACAGCACAATATATTTTTAACCTGAACAGAAAGAAAGCAAATGTCATAAACAAAAGTGCAAATAAAACCCAGACAGTACACAGCCGTATTTAGTGGATACCTTCCCTGCTGTGCATTCTAATGAGACAGACGCCAACTCAGAAGTGAAGCACGGCAGAGAAGCTGAGGGATGCATTTCTCATAAAGACAATAGGTCACAGATAGCCACATTAGTAATGAACATTTTGATATTGAAAAGGAATTTCATAGAAAGAAAAGTGACATGAGCAGTTCGTTAAAACATTATGCCTACAAACACGACTGGTATTTTCATGCACCCAGAAGACACGACTTGTCACAAATAATGGCATGACCATTCATCTACGCTTAAAAGCTGCACACTCTCGCACTAGGAGACAAAACAATACCAGACCTCTCCAGTAAGAAGGTGAATGATCTCAAACGAGTGCTTCACGATCTTCACTGCAAGCAGCTTCTTGCCATTGTTGCGGCCATGCATCATCATGGAGTTGGTCAGACGCTCCACAATGGGGCACTGGGCCTTGCGAAACCTCTTGGATGCATAACGACCAGAGGAGTGGGGCAAGTACTTGGCATGCTTCTCCTTCACTGCAATGTAGTCCTGCACAAAAGCAATGCACACAAAGGTAATGAAATTCTGTCATGTTTCACGTCTATGAACATGAACTCTATCAAAAGCACAAGCACTCAATTTAAAGGACTAGAAATAATTATGTTGAGCTTAGGCCTGAATTGATTAGTAATGCACTGTAGGAGACAATATAACAATGCTGACAGCCACTTCTCACATTTGTCGCTCTTTCCTTTCACTCGCATGTGCTCACTCACTCAACATGGGTTATGTTTCGGCAATGCTGCACGCAAGATGGGGTGGTGCAAGTCATCATGCTCGGGATGGTGAGGACACCCCTTGAGAGTGTTTCCCCCCCTGCCCCACCCCTCGAAATTTATAGTTGAAAAATTATACTGCTGTGTGGTTTAGCGATTAAGTTAAGTGCATTCGACTTTAGTTAAGGGGGCAGACTGCTCTTTGGGACCAAAAAGTGACAAAAATATTCATTTTTTAAAATTGACATATTTGGTTTTTGCAAGTATTTTTCTATCTCTCTGCAAATTTTCATGCACCAAGAAGTAGTAATTTTTTTGTAATGTCATTTTAACTGTCCAGATTCTTGGTGCTGTTAACATGCAGAACCTGCAAAAAAAATGGGAAACCGACTTTGAGGCTTCTTTATAATTTGCCAGCCCCTCTGTCTAAAGCTCTACTACAAATTTATGAGCGCCTTCGTGAGGATTGCTAAACATGCGCACCATGATCGTTGCTTTTTGAAGAAACTGTGTGTTTTCAGTTTTTTCTATTTTTCTCAAAAAAGTAAATTTGTGACTATTCAATTTTGAAGCCTCGATATCTCTGCAGCTAGGGCAGGTACAGCAATATTTCTATTTGCAGTGGAAACCTGTATGTGTGTAGAATGCAAGTATGGGAGCAAAATTTAGAGCACATGCCTGTTTAATTAATTACTAATCAAAATTGTAACACAATTCCAACTGCTTTTGAAAATGTATAGTTCATTTTGCTGCAAAATAACCAATAAAGGTCTAAAAACAAAAACCTCTTCCATACTTTCACTCTATAGTCGTTAGTCTATGTTGGCATATCCTAAATATCACTTTTAATTAAGCACTTTTTTTTCTATGGTGGCCTTAAACAATAGGGAGTGAACTTAAGTTATCTCGGCAACAAAGTGAGTGACAGGAAAACTAATTACATATTTGAAATCAGCAGAAAAAACTGTATAACCCTATGCAGTTTTATCAAGATCACTGAAGAAATAAAAAAAAAAATGTCTAAGACCAGTCCGCCCCCTTAAACCCTCTAGAACATCGTAGTAGACTACTGCACTCAAAACAGCCCCTTGATCTGTTTCATATAGAAGCCTCAGCAATCAATGCAGTTACGAGAGTTCTGAACCCACGTTCATTTTTCAATTTGCCTCGGCATGATTTTAGTTTTTACAAAAGTGAAAACAACCTACATTTATATAAACAAAATGGTCATCATCAGAAGATAAGAGTCCTTGTAAATATATGAATTTCACACAGATTTAGTTATGCAGTCACATGATAAAAGAGGACTGACTGCTAAATATAAATGCAACATAAAGGAAATTTTCTTTCTCTCAGCTTGGAAATATATTAACACAGCCTAGGTACATACATCGAAACATGCAGAGGTTGGATGCAAAAATGCAAAGAAGACGTAGGCTCGCATGTATAGAGCTTAGCGTGCACTTTTAAATTGAGGGCTGAAGTGCAGATGATATTTGTTTGGTCGGATCACTCAGAGGTATTATGCACGCGCTCCCTTTTCGTTTCAATGAAGAGCGAATACCTGAGCAAATAGATGGTGCAAATTTCTATTCTATTTGCGCCGAACTGTACGCATGTCAACGGCCACCGTACACCGTGACAGGCGAAGTTTCAAAAATTAGTCGCGTCGATGACTGGGTCATGCCGCGCTGTACAATTCTCTTGAAGGCCACTCGATGCTATTGAACCTCGCACCTTCACCCATGTCGTCTTAACGAGCAAGCAGCGCGTGATTGATTGGTATGTGGGGTTTAACGTCCCGAAACCACCATATGATTATGAGAGACGCCGTAGTGGAGGGCTCCGGAAATTTCGACCACCTGGGGTTCTTTAACGTGCACCCAAATCTGAGCACACAGGCCTACAACATTTCCGCCTCCATCGGAGCCGGGATTCAAACCCGTGACCTGCGGGGCAGCAGCCGAGTACATTAGCCACTAGACCACCGCGGCGGGGCCAAGCAGCGTGCGAGTTCCGAACGATGTGCGTGAATCGAGAGCGATCGCCACAACATTACGATGCGAGTGCCATGCTATGCTAACTAACATGGCCACAATGCCACCCTCTAGATGATGGCTACTACGACACGTCGTGTGTGCAGAATTACTTTTATGTATCTGCAAGTACTAAACGCAATTTGTAGAGCCCAGCATACCAACCAATTCTGCGTCCACACGAGTACCAGCAGCCTTAATTAACCAATTTTACCTCTGAAGCCTCAAATTACAAAATGGAACGGTAGTTGGATGGGAGTGCGCATATAAGGGCTTAAGCACTTCTATACTCTCTCCTAACAGATAATGTAGCCGTATCAGACTGGGAATCTTCGATTTTCAGACCTCTGGCAGCTCTTCAACAGCCAGAGCGTCAGCCATCTAGTTCCGGTTGGGACAGAAACGGCGTCGTGGTCACGTGTGTGGGGAACCCGAGACAACCTGAAGATTGCAAAATCGAACGCTGGGACAAGCCAGCAGCGTAAATATATAACAAACTCTACGGTCGTGGCAGCAAGCGAAAAAATGTGCCGCGTGCATGTTATCTTTTCTTCTGCATTGTCCACTTGCAAATACGTGGCCAAGCATGCCGAAGAGTTGTAATAATATCCTCGAGCACACACGTTACACTACAAGTTTGTACGCCCGCACGATCACTCGCAACTCGCCGCGAGCTGGCACACGCCACCTTGAGAACAATACAAGGTGAGCAGCCCTGCCAGTGACTGCTTGACAAGCTTACATCGTTTTAGTCACTGCACAACACAAAGCAAAATCACGCAAGAATGATCGTGTCCTAAAAAAGCTTGAGGATACATACCTGCTCAGCTACACGCGTTGACCAACTTGCGTTTTGGTCAAAAGTTCGAACATGCGTAGGTATTGGTACGAGTGCACATTGTGTCTAAAATAAACTTATGCACCACACGTTTTGGCCTCGTTTTGACTTGACTGGGCCTCTTTTTTAATCCTAAGTGGCACTTACAAAGTCTCACGTATCTCGCCTTTGATTTGAGCTACTAGGTCATATCCGTACATACTGCCCAGCATTAATTATTACCAAGAGGTGAAAAAAAAAGCCAATGAAATGAACAATGAAAGAATGTATGCATTTTTGAATCCATCTTCATTCTCCCCTTCCCCTCGCGTTGTAGAGTAACATAGTACTATACCACATATACTGGCCCCCAGATCGAAGTACGCTTGCACGCCGTTCGCAACCAGCGAGCATCACACACTTAAAACTAACTGTCGCGATTTATATTATTCAGTCAGGACATCCTATCACCATTGAAGACAGAGTGGTCAAGTTCTAAAAGGTTCACGCACGCAAACATACGACGGAGCGGGCTAGTCCGACCACAATCGTCTTCGCTAAGTGCACAGGAAACAGGCACGGCACCACAAAGGACCACTGCGAAAAAAGAACTCGAAAGTGGTCTCCATGCGTGCGTACGAACGTGTATGTACATAAGTTTTGAGGCATGTTCACGACGCAGTTAGCCGGCAACAGTTCGCCACGTTGTTCACAGAAGGAAGCTTCACGGGAAACATACCAAAAGCGATAAACAGTAGCTTCAAACACTCGCGGCTCCATCTCGCACGGCGAAACAGGCTTTAAAAGATAACGTCACTCGTAATGACAAGCGAAGGCGCGGTCCCCAAGCGCCCACATAGCAATCCGACGAGCCCTTATAAAGATGGCAGCGAGCGCGCACCGTATCTTTTGGGCGTCTGCTAGCGCGACACATACCCGAAACCTTCCACGACTAAATTGTACTGGAAGCATCTGGCGACTCTCGGGCTCCCCGCGAGTAGCCAGAACCGTCCCATCCGAGAAAAAAACGACCGCCAACCGAAAAGGCGCCGGGGGGGGGGGGGGGGGGGGGGGGGGGGGAGCGCGGGCTCTGGTAGCCCGCGGGTAGCCAGAATGAAAAATCGAAGAGCCCGACTACAAACGGCATACATATTGCTCAGGACTCGGATTCCTTTTGCAAATCCCTCTGGACGCGTCCACTCGCGAGTTCCCCGCAAGGCCTATTCCGCGTTGTAGCAGATAACATACTTACAAATAAGCTTTCAAGGAATTCGTTAGCAGTTACCGATTCATCCTTTTGTTATCACACGCCGAACGGCACTCAATAAGAGTGAAAATTCACATAGCCTGGCGACAATACATACAAAAGCTCTCACACAAGGCCTCGTTCACAAAGCAAAAGGGTTGGATGACTACACAGCACTTACAGTGAGACCGATATCGCTGACTTGCACATCACTTGAGCTCCAACGTCCAAAGAGTTTCGTTTCTAGCTGCTCCGTAGGAACAACTGTCACCGTTGCAGGCGCAGGATCATCCCAGCAGTCACCCATTTTGAGCTGCGAAAGGCAGACCAATTGTACCGCGAAGCCGGCACGGACAACGTGGTCGCCCACATTCCAAGTACCCGCCGCTGGAGCAATATCACCGCTAACTCAAGCAAAAAAAAAAAAAGTTTTCTTTCTTGCCAGTTCACGTCAACTATGCCAGGAGATAATACAACTATTGCAAATGCACGTAGCAAAAAGACGATCGAGTCTGACAGCGTTCTAATACAATCCGGCAGGACACGTTTATGTAGACACCGTTAGGCTTAAGCAGCTCGAAAAAACCAGTCACGAAGTTTGAAACAACATCAAAACCTAACAGCATAACAATTAGTGTATTAACAGACTCTAGTAATAGCAATTAGAGTTCAATGATTGTGAGCTGCGAGTAAAATTGAATTGTGCCGTTGTCAGATATAATCTCGTAAGAAATATATCACGCACCCTGCGACCGCTCCGCTCGTGGCAGCTGCAGAAGTACGAAAGGGCCGTCCTGGTCCGGATCCAGCCTCAACTGACAAAGTTCCGGTGAGCGCACGCTCGCCCCCTGGAGGCGAAAAAAAAATTTTCCATTCTTGATTGTGCGCGGCTAATATACGAATCTTCCAGTTTCAAGTATTTTTGTTGTACCTGGACATTGCATTTAGCACACGCATAAAATTTAAAAGGCCCCAGTCACATTTACAGGACCAATTATATGGTATGTGCATGCATTTTACGAAGCGGCTGGCATCGCTATAACAGGTTTTTACGCTGTGCGAAGATGCCTGCGAAGTTTAGAGCGCCAATATTTTCGATCTTAGATCGCCTGTTTTATTTTACGTTATTCTGAAGGAATGCTAGGCTTGCACTGCACCTTCAGGTGACGTGTAGTCGTATAGGCTTACGCCAACGATATAAGTAACATGAAACGACGTACAGGAAATCGCCGAAGCTGGCACCGCCGTCGCGTGCGTCGACGGGTGATACTGTGCGCAGTGGCGGTCGCTCTACAAGGTGCAAAACAATGTCGCCAAAATTAATTACGTTCCTCAGATGTAAGCCAGCGATAACTGTTTGTGTGCTGCTCACTTTGGGGCAAATGGCAATCACAGCCAAGGCTGCCGAACAAGACGCGACGTCTTCGTGCACTTACCAGGCGAGTTCCACCAATTTTGTGGCATCTGAAGGCACTCTCACAAAATACAGAGCTAAAAACTAAAGTGAACACTTTTACTGCTTTGCATCTTGTCCAACTTGATCCTTAGCACTCTTGTTACAATTTTCAGCGTGTCATTACAAAAATAAATAAGGAAGCAGAACAACACTTCTTCCTTCTTTAAAAATAGAGTATTGGGCGTTTATTTTTGAAGCTCATGGTTTATGCTAGTGTACGAAGGCGCCATATATAAGCAAGCTGTTTCAGCACTGGTGTAATACATTTTGCGATAAATCTAATAAATGCAAAAAACTAGTCTGGCTATGTAAAATAAATAAAAACAATATGAAGAGGCAAGAAGCAAAACCAACAGGAACGCTAAAAAAAAAAAGCAAGAACAGTGCTTCCTCTGTCGAATTCCGACCCTCTCGTGTGAAAGCTCATCCGCCCTGCCACATTTACTTTGACCCTTTCCCTTGTAGGCGATATAGTTTTCTAGCACGGTTCCCTCATTACGCGCCCATTTCTTGGCCGAAAGTAAGACGCGAAATTACAGGATCGAATTTCCATCGAAAAATTTCCTTCTCATTCTCAGTGGTCAAACATGCGCGGATTATATAGCTAGTAGTGACGAATTTTAATTCGCAGATTGCTGATGCACGAGAAAACGCGGACAAAATAAAAAAAACAACAAAACAGGGACACCCATGTACGAACACGTATCCCGTTATTCTTTCCTCACGTATCCGTCATTTATATAATTGTGCTCGCCATTGGAAATACAGAAATATTGCGGGTAAATGATTTATTTTCCTCGGTTTTTTATGAGCCGCATTAATGTAAGGAAAATGGCAGACTTTGTGTTTCTAACAGCATGCAGTAAGCGATCAACAGAATAAAGACGCCAGGCCTGTGCGGATAGCGCAGCGCAGTCACATCGAAAGCTATATATATATATATATATATATATATATATATATATATATATATATATAGAAGAGCGGCCTTTCAGAACCTTTTCTAAACACTCATTGGGTAACTGCTACAAGCACACTTAGTGTGCTTGTAGCAGTTACTCAATGTAGCAGTTACCCAGTTACGGCATTAATAATAAAAAAAATTTGGGTAGCGGAATTCGTTATGCTATTTTGCGTCATTCTTCTGAGAAGCGTGGTATCCGCTATAGGCACTTGCAAGGAATTTTGTGCCGATTGTTCATGCAGTGGCTGACGGCGATGAGGAATTATGCCTGAAGTGGGTATGTGCCGCAGTTATTAGGTGCACAAGAACAAGCTTTTTTAATGGGTTGCAACATTGGACGACCCCCTCGTTACGCTATTCGCATTATGCGACGACTCGTTGTTATTCAGCTGTTTTAAAACGCTTTATAAGTCGTAATAATACGATTGCTTTCCCGACATCAAGCCGGACTCGCTCGCTGGATTTCGTGCCGACCAGCTGTGCCTCCGCAATCTCCGACGACAGCGCAGCTCTGGCCGACTAGCTCACCCTATATACGCCATCTCTTGACGCCAAGAGCTCTCGCTGAGTGGTGCCCCGTCCTCGGACTTCTGCAACTCTGTCTATCTTTCCTATCTTATCCTCACTTCCGTATGTGGCTGTCCCTGAGCCTCTCTCTGCTCCTGCTCCTCTCTCTATCTCTATACCTTTAATTCCTATCTTTTTTATTCCCCCCTTACCCCCACCCCTGATGAGCTATACTGTTGGGGTGTACTCCCCTTGAGAGACAGTTAGGGGGCTCACTTTTCTCTTCTTTTCATTTAGGAATCACCCCCCACCCCCCGACATCAAGCCTGCCTATAGGGCAAGTTTGCCAGTCCCAAGCACCAGTGTTGCTCAGTGGTTCTCTCGGCACTGAATGGAAAGCTACGGAGGCGGTGTTTCTGCACATGTAGCACTATGCGAAGTAGTCCGTTTTGGCGCACGTCTCGTAACGGCGTGTAAAGAGACGGGGGTGCACCATCAGCGTTTCATGTAGACGCAGACGCCGCTTAGCGTTTGAGGTGCACGTAAAAAGGCGGGACTTTCTCACGCGTTCAAGAACGCGAAGTCAGAACAGATGAATTAAAAGAAATACGAATATCTTGCAGGCGTGAGCTGCGTCCTGTCTTATAGCTCCACGTTGAAAATAAAGGAGGAACATTTATATTTCACGCTGAAAATAGGGGCGCTACTTTGGAACTACCTTGGCGGTAAGAGATGCACGTGATTTGGCTCCGTAGCTTTCCCTTCAGTGCCAAGAAAAGTTGTCGCCGACAGAATACTGGTTTCTGCTGCTTTCGTCCGCCCATTCGTTCTTGCTTCCGCCCATCCATGCGTCCGTCCGAGTGTCCGTCCGTGTGTCCGCCGGTGCATCCGTCCGTCCGTTCTTCCGTCTGTCCAACCATCCGTCCATGCGTCCACCCCTCTGCCTGTCTGTGCGTCCATCAGTCTGTCCGTCTATCTGTATGTCCGTCCGTCTATCTAGTGAACACTTCAAGTACAGCCATCTCACATGTTTTAATCATGTATTCATCATGTACAAGTGCCGCCATCCAGCGGACATTCTAAGGGCCACTCTTTCGGGTATGTGCCACCGGTGGCTACATACACCATCGGAGGTAGGACACACCGACACCCTCAGGAGCTTCGCCTCTAAAATAGGACGTATATGTCTTATTGGCGTTTCCATGCCTTTTGAGAAGTGAGGCAACACTGTCCCACTGTCTCGTGAAGCTACTTTCCCGATTTCACTTGCGTGCTTACTTGTGAAAGGCACCAAAAGAAGTTGGACAGAGCGGCACCTTGCAAGCTCGACATGTGAACTTTGTGCGGACCTCATTTCCAGTTTCGGAACACCATCTGCACCTTCTCCGTGGTATTTCTTTTTGTGAATTGTGGTTGCCTCCTGTGAATCTGATTTAATCCGAGACCCACCCTGACCATTCTTCTGTTTCTGCTTTTTGTTTGTTTTTCGGAATGGCGCAGTTCTAGTGTAGTGCTTAAAAGTATGTACATTTGTCAGTTGTCGTCCTATAGCACTAGACGAAACCACATGTAGCTTATGTCGTTGTTGGCGTTGTGCTGTAGCCCCGTTGCGGTGGTGGCTAAGGTACTCGGCTGCTGACCCGCAGGTCGCGGGATCGAATCCCGTCTGCGGCGGCTGCATTTTCGATGGGAGTAGAAATGTCGTAGGCCCGTGTGCTGAGATTTTGGTGCACGTTAAAGAACCCTAGGTGGTCGAAATTTCCGGTGCCCTGCACTACGGCGTCTCTCATTATCATATGGTGCTTTTGGGGTGTTAAACCTCACGTATCAATCAATCAATCAGCGTTGTGCTGTATGAACGCGTTCACGACAGCTGCATCAAAGAGAAATATGCGGTACCAATTGACTTTTTAGAACACCTGTTAGAAGTGTAGGCATTTCGCTTTTGGTCGAACATGTCAACCGCTCCCATGCACAAATGGTAGTCTGCCACGGCTTTCCGGCCAGTCACAGCCACTGAAGAGCCATTTGTAAGCTTTCGGGGTACTTACAAAGTTTCTGTTGTATCATGAAAGTTTGACAAAACATAAACATATTTGGTGTCGTGCCATTGATAAGCTGTAACCTCACCTTTGGCGCGCCACATCTATTCTCCTTTCCTGAGCATGCTTGCCTTGTTTTTGAGAGGCAAATCCTTTCTGTTCGTGCGGACAGTACCTGCGCAGCAAGGATGCTCCTCTCGGAGAGAGTTTCCATCAGCTTGGTGCACGTAAAGTAATTGTCGAAAAACAGCTGCGTTCCAGGCTTTACGTTCACTGATGGGGAAAGCACGACATGTTCTCCAAGGCTTTGGTTGGCTGGCCGTGATGTATTTTTTTATTCATATACCTCAGATTGACGCATACAGCCCGTCTTTGATTCTGCCCTGCACCAAAATTTATATCCACGCTTTATAGGCTTCATCGGAAGGTACTGCTTCATGCTAGACCTTCCTTTGAAAGCCATCATGTTTTCATCAATGGGCTGATAGGATGATGGCAAGTACTTTTCCTGGAAGCTCCTGTTGATGTTGATGATTGATGAGCTCGAGGAAGCAGTCTCGCAAGCATATAGCAAGCATCTTCTCCTTTCCTCTCTTCTTTGCTGTGGTCGTTCACATGAAAGGAGTTCATTATGTACTGGAAACGCTTGAACGACATCACTTTGGTTATTTCTTCAGAGTTTAAAAGTGAATCGCGGCTCCAATAATGGTAAAATTGGTGCCGTGGTGACATGCTTATCAGCAGAAGCAAAGCAAAATAAGCTTTTAGCTCATCTTCTGAGCCTATTTCGTCATGTAATTTTCAGCACCAGCGCGGTTAGTGTGCTCTAATACCATATCAATCACCTCGTCGTCAAAATACAACGCGAAGCAATCTACTGCACGTGGCACCGTCTTTTTCGTGAACTCGGGGTCCCATCATTTTGGACTCCCGAAAGAAATGTTTGGTTTATTTTCACTCCACCCTTCACCGATTTCTTCTTGAAGAGCAGCTGCTTCGACATCGGTCTCTGGTTACTTCCTGGTTGACACTTTTCCTGCTTTCTGAAGTTCTTTGTCGGCGTTTCTTTCGTTTCCCTTTCGATGACCCAGGTTTATCTTCGTCGAGACTCGAGCTCCGGCACGAACTCATCTTCGCTGCTTTCTGCCTCGTCTCCGATTGCCTCAGACTCGTCAGGCAGGCAAAATACACATGAGAACGAGCCCATTGAAATTGAAAATGATCGAGAAATATATCTGAAGAAGAAGAGTTAGTGTCAGTTAGTCCTAGCAAAACGTGCCTGAAAATTTGGATTATGTTGGCATTGACCAATTTATCTAGCCTCCAAATACTCTGATTGAAAAAGTATTAACACCAAAACTTGCGGAAAACATGTTTCGAGAAGGGCAAAAAAAAAAAGAAAATTCTACTATTCATCTTGAACTCTCGTAAATCCAGTTCTACACGAGCAAAAATTCTGATCTCTAAATCAAAACAAAACAAATTTCACATGATCGGTTCTACAACGCCAAATATGTAACCGCAAGCAAACTGCTGCAAAAATTATTATTATCAGTGACCGATAATTGATGGCAGCACAATTATTTGGCGCCAAGTTCATCCGATTTTAACTGAGACAGCGTTTTTGTCACACACAAAAAAATGTGTCGTTTTTGTCTCATTATCCCTCAAAGGGTTAAAAAAAATTTTGCGCAGAAAAATACTATAATGGTTCGAGTGTTATTGTTCGAAAATGAGTTCATGTACAGTACCATTCATTCCATTCACTTCATAACGCACCGTTTCTTTCCTTTTGCATGCACTGCCTAGTAAATTTCGATTCTGTAGCAGAATGGTGACATTTATTTTATGTATGTAAGTTTTTTGGGGTAATGGAGCTTCGTCAAGTCAATTAAATAACGAAGGACCAATTTAGAGGTTTTTATATAGTATTAGATAGTATTCATTACCAGTGGGCTTCATAAATTACCAGAGGATGCACCTTTGCTGGGAAACTTTGTAGCGCCGACTATTAAACGCGTGATATGAAAAATACATTTTTGCGTACTATATGCTATATGTGTTATGTGTTAAAAACAACAATTCAACGAATGAGACCAACAACGTGGCATGTAAGTTCAATTCGCTATTTTTTGTTTTATGATCTGTCTGCGTGTTTGCCATTGGCACAATTTTTTAATGGTTTGGAGCACTCGTGCCCGCCATTACAGTACTTCGCTTCTCAATCAATGTAAAATACTTCTGTGCTGGAATATGCTGATGGTTGGATGGCGAAGCTTCATTCAGAGTCCCGAGAGATGCGACTAGCGCGTAGTGGGCTTCTCCCACGTTGAGACGGGCAGGCTGAGCCCAGTTTTTTTTTTTTTTTGTCGAGTTATCTTCCTCGTCTCTCGTATGTCTCTTTGTCTAGTGTCTTTGTGCGTGTAGTATGAAATCATTCAGTCAATACCAACTAGCCTATAGGCCTTAACGAGCCCCTCGCATTCTTTTCACCATAAATCGTTCCAAACTTTAGTTTCAGAGACAACAAGAACGCCTCCTCGAGTTACAGAGCATATACACGCGGGCTTCCCTTTGTGAATATTATCTGTTATTTTTGTAACATGCATGTATCCTTATGCACTCCTCCTGCACGGATTGTAAGTACTCACGGAGGCCTGTCGTTTTCGCTATAAGTCGCATTGTTTGTTGCTATGTTACATTTAAGGCCAGCGTGAAGGACGAATGCCTCAATAAACTCGGTTTTATCTCTACAGATCTGCTCTCAAGAAGGGATTTTGTGCATCAGGTGAACGTTATAAAGTAATATTAGTTGAAATACCGCTTGTCCTGTCGTCTGTGTGTCTGTGTCCGCGCTTCGTTTTGTATTTAGGCAAATAACTATAAGTTACGCGACAGAACTCCGAACACACACTACCATGGTAAATACACATTTGTTCTGCAAAGAAGACGCGTAAGGCGAGATGAATGACAGCGCTGCCTGCAGGGGGGAAGCTAAACAAGAGGTGACGTGCTCGTCCGCCCCACCCTTGTCGCACGCAGAGCTGCTTCGTGGGACGGCCGGATGTGCTGAATATCCACATAGTGTGCCACAGCCACAACGATGTCGGCTGGACCGAGACGCCGGAGGTCATCTACAACGAATGTGAGCACAGAGGGACGGCAGTGTCCCTGGCTTGCGCACACAAAAAATCAAGCATTGCAGCGGTTCACACAGTTTTAGTATACTGGGGCTCCAAGCGTACCTGAACTCTTGCGTTCTGTCGTATCCTCCTAGCGTTTAGGTAGCAAACAGAAGGAAGTAGGGAGGGTACAAAAAACGCAATAGCCTGGGGCCCCAATATCAATACCATGCGTTTTTTTCTTGCATGTGTCATGCATGCGCAGAGCGTTCGTGAAACATGTGCTCAAAGCAGATATGCATCCATGGGTCCGGAAGGAACCAGATCACGGTGCTCCTTTAATGTGATATGTAGAACAATGCTGGGCATTGCTAGTGGAATGCGTCCCGCTTACTGTGCGGCAGGAGTTGTGGTGCAGTTAGAGGGAGAAAGATAAAAGGACGCATAGCTAACGGCATGTTCATCCCTCCTTTTTTCAAACAGTTGACTTGGTCACGCTAAACGTTGCGTTCGAATATGCATGTGAGGAATGGGTACATGAAAGCAAGTCAATATTGAATTTCGTAGGATTATGAACACCAAGCTTTCGTGGCATTTCTGCCGACATTGCGATCCACTGGGACGTTGTAGCAATACAACATGCATGAATGTAGCTATATATATATATATATATATATATATATATATATATATATATATATATATATATATATATATATATATATATATATATATATATATATATATATATATATATATATATACATATATTCTAAATTCAGTGTTTGTCAGCTTAAAGAAACCACAGAAAGAAAAAAAAGTGATTATATATATATACATATATATATATATATATATATATATATATATATATATTATAAATTCAGTGTTTGTGAGCTTAAAGAAACCGCAGAAAGAAAAAAAGTGATTTCTCAAGGAAGCTTTGAACACACTGAAAAAAATATTTTACATTATTTTTGTGTACGCAAAGGATTTCAAAGGAAGTGTAGACAAGAAAAGGGTAACACTGATTGCGGCAATATGTTGATATTGCTATCATCCTTATTCCAGTTTATTTGTCAAGAGTTTTTAGAGAAGTATCGGTGTTCTCACTCATGAGTCCACTCACTCGAACTCAGATCGAGCCGTGAGTCTGAGTAAGTCTGGGTGAGTAATATTTTCGTGAGTCTGAGTCCGAATGAGTCCGGTTGAAGAAAAGTTTTGTGAGTGTGAGTCTGTGTGAGTTCGGCTCAGGAAAATTTTGGTGAATATGAGTCCGAGTGAGTCTAAAGCGCAACATATATCTTTTGAGCGAGTCTGAGTGAGTTTCACTTTCTTTTGCCGACCCAACGTCTTATCTAGTCATCTTGAGCATTACTATCAGCCTTACCTAAATTCACATTTATACTCGCATCTACTCGCATGTATTCCAAAACAGCGTCGTTCATACCCAATTGCAATATTTATTGATCAGGAACGTGAATCGAGTAGGGGGTTGACCTCGACCTCCCTCTTCCACCTACTCTTACAGGGAAGTTATTGATAAATATATGTTATGCTGTCATCTCTTTTAAGAAATAAAACCTAGATGTTTTGCAAGCCCTCAGAACTCGTCTGAGAAGGTAGTTTACGTCAAACGTCGCCAAGAACAGCACCAATCACGCGTGGCATCCGTGTTAAAGAGCATTGATATCATGGTCGAATTAGGAGAAAATTCTAGGCTAACGGACTCATGAGTTGACTCACTCGGACTCAGATCAAGCCTTGACTCTGAGTCTGAGTGACTCCGGGTGAGTAATGTTCTGGTGAGTGTGAGTCCGAGTGATTCCGGCTGAGGGAAAATTTTGTGAATCAGAGTGAGTCCAAAGCTCGACATATACTTTATGAGTGAATCTTAGTGAGCTCCGCAAATATTGCCGAGCTATGATAGTGACCATGACGGTTTCACTCTTGCTCTGTTAGATAAAAAAAAAAGCTAGTAATTTTGGGCGCTATTACTCATGGTTTCGCTGTGCATGGTTATGACTCACTCAACTTACGCCACTTTGTCGTCATAATGTAATGCTTGCCCGGTGAGACAAAATGCATTTGTACAGTTAGATTATGGCTAGAGGGAAGCTGTTGGACTGACTGTGCGTTAGGAGGTGGAAAAGGGGAGTGGAGCTTACATGAAAGCAATGCAGCGACAAAGCCCGTGGGGTACTTTTTTTCCCTGCAGATGTGCAGGACATCTACAGCTCGGTGACGACGGCGCTGCACAAGAGCCGCGACCGCAAGTACGTGTCGGCAGAAACGGCTTTCTTTGAGCGGTGGTGGCAAGACCAGCTGCCGCCAAGAAGAAAGAGCGTCCGGAAGCTCATCCAACAAGGTTAGTTCATGCATACCTAGCGCTGTGGTTGTATACTTATAGTGCGAAAACAAAACCTTGTTTTCTGCTAAAATCAGCCCGTTGAACAGTATCGGGACTTTATGGCACATTATGTATATGTATGAAAGGCACGGAGATTGACTGAAGACTGAACACGGTTGGATAACATGCGGTGAAGAAGACAAAAAAAAGAAAAAAAAAAGAAAAAATTTGAGAAATAACAGAACGTCCACTGTTAACAGCGCCGATGTAGTAAAAGTTATGCGTTTTATGTCGGAGGCGGTTAATCAGTCCGGTATAGCCTTCGGAAATCCCAGAAGCGCTTTCGTTGCGTTCTGTAGCTGGAATGCGCAAGACCGTGGTTACAGTGGTCAAGATAGTGTTTACGGTGAACGTCTTTCCATTTAGCTGCTCTGTAGGTGTGCGGAGTAAGCCCTTTCAACTTCAAAAGATGGGCAGTAGCATGAGAGGTCTTCGATAGGTTCCTCGACACTGCAGCTGTTCCACTATAGGTGCTGTCGGCAATTTCAGTGGTCAACAAACTTTGTTGATCACTGAAATTAACTGATCACGAATTAACCAACGCGTAGTACGCGTTGGTTAATGCGATACCCAGCCGCAGTGATCAACGAATACACGTTGGTGAATGCAATACCCAGCCGTATAGACAACCCAGCCTATAGACAATCTTCCCGCCGGGAAAGACAACGCATGTAACAGGCGCGTTTGGAACAGCGGGTCTAAAGAATGAAACCGATAATGAGTATATTCAGGTGTGTGCCACAACTGCAACGTCATACGGTATACCTTAAGTGATTGCCCGCATAAACCCTCTATAAAGACGTACAAACAACTGCACTTTGACTTGGGCGAGTCGGTACATACTCGGATTGCATGGTTCAGCGCGATTCAGACGAAGACCAAGGATACGCACGGCGCTCGTCTGTGTTCTGTGTGTCTTCTTGACCTTCGTCTAAATCGCGCTGAAGCCTATCCGAGTACAAACACAACGTTTGTTTCTTCGTGTGCTTTTCTGGTATCTCAACTGGTGAGATTAGCAAATGCACCGAATCCGCTGAGAGAAGACACTGTGGAGGCGCTTCTGAGTCCTGAGAATATTATCCGTGCACCGATTAGCCGGTTATTATCGCCACGGTGGCGAACAGGCTTTCAACGTTGTCATGTGACGGATTTTGTATCTGAGGTTGATACTCGTGATGAGATTAACGCTGCATTAGTAAAACTGATTGATTGATATGTGGGGTTTGACGTCCCAAAACCACCATATGACTATGAGAGATGCCGTATAGTGGAGTGCTCCAGAAATTTCGACCACCTGGGGTTCTTTAACGTGCACCCAAATCTTAGCACACGGGCCTACAACATTTTTGCATCCATCGAAAATGCAGCCGTTGCAGCCGCGATTCGATCACGTGACCGGTGGGTCAGCAGCCGAGAACCTTAGCCACTAGACCAACGTGGCGGGGCTTAAAGCAGAAACTATGCAAGCAATCCAAAGCGACTTGCTGCAAGGCAAGGAATGCAGGTCACTCTTTTCTCCTAAACTTTTCTTAAAACTTTGGATGAAGAAAGGGACGCTACACAGAAAAGTCGATAAGTGAAAGATAAGGTACTACAGGAGAATGTTAAGTGCAGAGTCATTCACATCTGGGGTTAACATGCCCTTGCAATACCCCTTTGCATGCCCTTGCAATACCCTTTGGAATAAAGCCAAGATGACATTCATTAAGTGCTCGTGGTTTTCTTTTTTTTTCTGTGTTTCCGCAAAGTTGACGCGCTATTTTTTATTGTTTGTTTGTTGACTTGTCAACATTCCAGCTTGAGGTTACAGCTGTATGCGGGCCTTCAATACCCGGTTTCCATGCATTTGTTGATGCATGACACAACACGTTTAACACTCGTGACCTCATCATTTTTCGTTCTAATTTCGTATAACGGCGTGCGTGCAACGCTTCGATAACTGCAACAGTTTTGTGCACAAGCACAATGACGAAAACGAGAGGGTATAGGCACACACATGCTCAATTATATCTACCTATTGACTGCTTGTGCGCAAGGAGTTATCGAATGTTTCGCGCCGTGGTAGCTGAGCAGCTCGAGTGCACGGCTTTCACTGTTCGACGGCAGAGAAACGATAGGCGAACAGCTCCCTTAAATTTAGATGCCCGCGGAACAACTCCAGTTGGTCAAAATAAATCCGGCGTTCACCAGTATACGGCGTGCCTCGTGGATAATTATGTCGTGTCACGGTTTTGGCGCGTACAAACCAAGAAGCTATACATATTGCTATTAGTAATGAAATGCTGTACCAACTCCCCCAAACGAGCACTTTTCTCGGTGTTGCAGCCTTGCCTGTTGCCTGAACTATGCATAACATGTAACTCACAGTCCGCGTGTGCCGCACGCAGGGCAGCTGGAGATGGCCGGTGGCGGTTGGGTACAAAACGACGAGGCGACTACTCACTACTCGGCGATCGTCGACCAAATGTCGATGGGGCTACGCTGGCTCAACGACACCTTCGGCGAGTGCGGCCGACCTCGCGTAGCCTGGCAGATCGACCCGTACGGCCACTCGCGAGAGAATACCGCTCTCTTCGCACAGGTGCGCATAAGATGCGTACAGTTTAAGCTACTCGGGTATAGCGAACTTTAGCCTGGCGTGCATCAACAGCTCAGCACTACAGCTCAATCCTCTTGTGTTGCTATTTTTGAGGTCGATGGGAAAACTTGTACTACGGCTCTGGAGATAGTCTAACAGCAATGCCAGGGTTGACAGTGTTGTCAATTGGAGGCATTTCGTTCGTAAGTCTAGGAAGAAAAATAACTTGCTAAGAATAGGTGCTAGGTTACACCTTGCAAAAATATAATACATATCAGGGCACAGATTTAAGGTTTCAATGGCAGAGAAGCTGCCCGCAATCATATCGTTCCTAGACACCCTCCTTCCAAGAACTGACCAAGACTTGACCAAGACCGTATATAGGCTTAGCGGCCAAGGTATTTCATAGCTGAGCTCGAGGACTCGGGTTTGATTCTCCGCAATGGTGGCCGCAGTTTGATAGAGGTGGAGCCCCAAAACACCCTCGTATGCTTATAGGATGGGCGCACATTAAAGAAACCCAGGTGGTCAAAATTAATCCGCAGTTTCGCACAACAGCACGCCTAAAAATTTATCCTCATAATGGCACGCAATACTAGAGCTTAATTTTTGAAAGACTGGCCAAGAACAGCTCTGCAGGCAAAGCTAAGAAAACCGGAGTGTTCATCATGACTTTGTCGATGGCATGGCGCTGCATGCCGCATGTGTGCGCCTGCTATGCATGAAACACGTGAAGGAACAGATAGCGTTCAAAATGAATACGCATAGTCCTTTAACAAGACATCCGTTGAATTGTCCCAGGTAAGACTCTATTCTCAGGCACTTGTTCTGTCAAGCAGCATAATATATGACACCTTCGCTTTCTACTTTTGTCGTAAGCCAGTATTTGCCACACACATCAGAGGTATACGCATAAGTTAAGTAGAGCACTGAAAGGAGGGGGATGCCACTTTCACAAAACTTTTGTTTAGTAAGTGCTTTTTACCATTGGCCTAACGGATTGATTCTGCGATGCATTCACTATCAGAATAGACTGAAACATTCTCTTGCAAACCCTTCTAGCATGACGTTCTTGGGCGCAAGATTGTTCTTTTCCTGCGCGAATGTTCTTTAACGAAGCCTCGCTACGCAACATAATACTTTTCACGCAACATTTAACAAATGCCCCCCTGTAACTTCCAAATCACGCCCTGAAGGATAGCAAAATATTGCGCAAGAGGAATTATTTATATATAAGGCCCTGTATATTCACAGGACTGACTGCTTGCCCTTGCATATATAGTGACTATAACATAGGGTAAAATACGGACACCAACGAAGGATAAAGCAATATGCACAAACAGTTTATCTACACAAAACAGGTGGCGTAGTAATAGCACCGACAAGTTTCAATCATGGAAAATTGATTTTGAGGGGCAGGAAATTGACCAGACCCTTATACAGGCCAGATTTAGGTCGTCCTCGCAAAATAGTGGCTTCACATGCATGACAGCAGGCCCGACTGAGGTGCAACAAACTCAACAGTGATGCTCTATCAAGTGATTGGCAATATTGCTGATTTAGTTTGCTGTACCTTGCATGCAAACGAATTCAAGTGCACGCGTTTGCCATGGTCAAATTATCGAGACATCACATTGCCTGATGTCACTACGTACCAGTGGCTAGATATATGCACTACATTTTCAGGCTCGGACATGTTTTCGTCGGTTTTGCGGCATAGTGCGAGGACATCCTAAATATAACTGATGGAGGACTCAATGGAAGTTTGTGCGCAAGTTGATAACTTATTCTTCGTAGTTTGTCAATGACCAAACGGGTTTCCAAAAAAACTCACAGTTTTTACAAAAGGGTGAAGCAATGAATGCGATAGCAACATATTTGAATGTTATACGAGGCAAGTCTAACATTTTCAGAAGCAATATTAGTTGCTTGTCAGCTTGTAATATCAGCTTGTAATGTCATGCTCATGGGTGTCAGACCAGATACGATGGATTCCGTCGAGGTAAAAGATGACGTTCACAAGCATGAATGTGGGGTCCCTCCTGTAACTGGTGCTGACTTGGCTTGTGCGAATAGTGAATTTCAGGGTCGAAGCGAATTCGAAGCGAATAGTGATTTTGGTCGAATAATTTTTAATCGAATTCGAATAGTAGGACATATAAAAAAGGGAATATTTATCATAACCTAACTAACCTGCACGATATTTTTTTAAAATTAAAATAGGGGCTCTATGCAAATGCCTTTTTTCATTGAAAGGAAGTCAAAACAACCTTGCTTAGTAGTTTCGGTAGGATCCGAGTAATAACCTGTGAGATACATAACGCTTTAAAATTTATTATACTTAAATCAAATAAACCATCGTAACAAGCTTAATAAAATGAAGGATTGATTTGAGGGTAACATGTTCCTTTAAAGGGTGCCCTGCAACACTTTTTCAAGTATCCATGGAGCCAGTAAACATGCTTGTCGCCTCACAAATTTACCGCCGCAAAGCTTTTAGAATCAGTCCAGTACGAGTGGAGTTCCAAAAATTTGTCGCATGCTGCAATTGCATTTTCCATTCTCGACCCGTCAAAAGAGCTGAAAGCTAAGTATGGAAGGATGGCACGGGAAAAGAAAAAACATGATGAGCGCCTAGTGACCTTGAGCATTTTTTCTCTCTCTTTTTTCCTCGAATACGAGGCCTACCAGTGCGATCCTACACATATTTGTGGACAAGCGGTGGCCTCACGCGGCGGTCCAATAACGTACCAGAGCCGTATTTTCTTTCTTGGCTGTGACAAGTAATTTTTGAACTTGTAGTGTCATTTGCCGAGGTAACAGAGCAATTTTTAGTTTTGAAAATTCGTTGTGAATTGCAGGCCGCGTGCTGCGCCATAATACTTGCCTCGCGTGTTCTCGGTAGCCTCGACTACCGATCGGCAGCGTTTTCTGACCATGCTCAGTAAGTGTTGCAGGGCCCCTTTAAATCTGAAGAGGGCTTTGCGGCAAAGCAAATTTCTTTTGAGTAGATGCTTTCACGGCTTCGCACTATACATTGCAGCGAAACCATCTTCACAGGTGGACTAATGTACATTTCTTTGTTTATTGCGAATACTTCGAAAATATTCGATAATTTAAATTCGAATCAAAGCGCATTCGAATACTCACCTACTCGTTCGAATATTCGAAGCATTCGAATATTCGCATAAGCCTCTGACGCATTCGTAGAGGTGTACCCACTGATCGACGTTGGAACCATCGCGGCCAGAAAACACGCCAAATGTCTTTCAATACAGGAAGCGTCATGAAAGTTGTAGTGGCCGGTGGGTCAGCAGGCAGGGCAGGAGGCGTTACGACTGGAGCGGGTGTAGTCGAGTCCTGAGAAGTCATCTTGAAAGCCGCGAGTGAGTGCCAGCTGCGGAGTTCCGTGGCGAGGACGGGGATCGCACCACTCTACCAAATATGATACGAGAAGGATACAGACTTGAAAAATAATAGGTGCACATATATTCACAACTGGTTAAGCGAGCAGCGCAACTGATAGTGATTGGTTGATTGATTGATTGATTGACTCTTTTAACTTGGATCAACTCACCATGGAGGATTGGTCATGAAACGAGTGGTACCTTGCTATATAAAATAATTAGTTTATAATGCTGACTTATTTAGTAAATATAGTTTTGCAACAACTTATTAGTTTAATTCACGAGAAAGAAACTATAAAAAGAAGACTAATGTTTTTGAAGAATATTCTTAATTTCGTAATTTCAGAATTTCATTCGTCTTGTCTCACGTGGCTAAAACCATCGTGTGGCTAAAATGCTCCTCTGTCTAAAACTCAGTTTGGTAGCCCCAAGGTAAAGAACCATCGGAAGTGCCAAATTTAATCCCAACCTTTCAGAGTGGTTCATATAGAAGTATTTTTTATTAGTAAATAATCTGCATGTCAGGAATAAATGATCCAGGGATTCTTTCCAATTGCAATTGAGACATAAAGGGGACTGCACCAGACCCGATCTGTGTAGGTAAAAGTTCAGAGGGGAGACTCGGCATCGTATTCTGGTAACTGATATATTGGCCCTTCTGGAGGAGCACCATTGAATTTTCCAACGATAACTGAGGTGAGGGTATTGTGAAGCTCACAACGTAGACTCCGCAAAGTTGACCACTGTGGGAATTTTTCAATCGCGCAGCAGTAGCAAACGCCAACGTCGGTAAAATAGAAATTATAGGACCATCATCACACGATGCTATGGCGAGTGCGTCCGCATATCCATTGAGAGATATACCTTTGTCCCCTGGTACCCACACCAAGCGGATAATACGTATATGTTTCGAAATGAGAGAATAAAATGCTTCTAAAAATTTGCAAAATTGGTGCAGTTAATGAAGAAAAGTTGGCAGGGCTGTCTGTCAGATTGACGGCTTCTGATATTAATAGAGGTGATTTGCATGAAGCTAAATCAATGACAAGTAATTCCGCTTGGTTGTGAAGTCGGCAAACGAATTGAAAAAGACTAATCCAGAGATAATGATGCCATTCCCACCCCTGATTTTCTTCACAAACTAAAGCATCAGTTGTTATCACCATGGCCGTTTCTAAGCATGAGAAGTGGTCATCCAAAATGCAGTTGAAGTATCTACTGGGCAAATGTTTGCAATTCTTGTGAGAAACATATCGTTAAATTCTATTCTACTTGTTTGTAAAGATCTGCTTATGACAAGTACTTCACGGAGGTGCACGTAATGTTTCCATTGTTTCTGTGTGAAAATGACTTGGGGACACCATAACCTTGACCGCTTATGGTAAAAAATGGCGTCGATTGATTAATAAATATATACTGCGACTTTCTCAGTGGCGATGCATATATTTTCAGCGATGTACACGGTGTTAGGATGTGAAGCCGAGTACGAAAAGAAGGAAGGAGTGCTTCTTTCTATAAAGTACTATTTGATACAAATTTAGGATGTTTAACACATAATCGTAATGATTTGCGTTCTAGAATAACCAGTTTGTATGCAGGTACATCAGAAAACAAGATGCAGGCGAACTCAAATATGGAGCGAATATACATGCAATAAATCATGATGAGAACATCACGACGTAAACCAGAATGAACGCTTGTTGCTTAGTATGAAGCATCTCTACCACACGTGTTCCTTTAGCTCGCGCCAATCTATCCTCTCTGTCGACTTTCTATTAGTCCTCTTCATCTCGTCGAGCCACGGGTATGTAGAGATATTTGGCCTTCGGTTGCTCCATTCACTGTTAGTGCTCGCTTGAGTTGGGTGTACTGAAAAAAAAAAGAACAGCTAAAAGGCACATCTCCGCGTCGAGCTTCTTCATTTGTTCTTTGCCGCCTATGCCGGGGGCGTAGCCTGGAATAAAAATGGATATGTACAGAGCTCTGCTTCCTCAATAAGAAAGCGATGATTACTCTCAGTGCCATAACTTCATATTCAGGTCATTATGTTCAGTTCACAAGATTAAATTCTATTAATCTCCACTCGCTCTCTTTTGACACTTCTTTCGTATCAGTGCCACGACAAACGCATCTATCGCTGAAGTGGAGGTATCCTTTTGTCATGCAGAGCGCAAATTGCCGTTTTGCACTCTGCATGCCACGTCGAAAAAAAAAAATTAGGAGGGTGGTAGTGAGGGGCACGGTCTTGGTGTGCCACCTCCCGAGTACGCCACTGGCCCCGATTGCAGCTGCTGGAATGTAATAATATCTAAAGTCTTGTCAATTTACTGAATGAAACGCCGGAAAGGAGCAGTCATTTGACCATAAGGCAACATTTTCTGGTACTGACACCCTTTGAAGGCTCAACTGAGATCACACATTGGCAACCTATCACACGTACGTAAGAGCGCAGTTTAGCTGAATTGTAGTCGTTGCAGGATCTCCCTTTAGCGCGTTTCGCATGTTGGAGTGCAGTAAAAAGATACTGTAGCGCTCAAGTGCGTGACTGTACTTTGCCTCTGTTGTCTCGTCCTTTTCTAATCGTTATATGTGCTATTACATTTTGAAATGAACTGTACGCAGATGGGCTTCGACGCAGTCTTTATGGGCCGCGTGCATTTAGCCGACAAAGAGCACCGACGCAAGCAGCGCTCGCTTGAGTTCGTCTGGAATACCGACAGGACTATTGGTGAGTGACCCCGAGCTTGTCCGTCATTGTGGCCTGAGTTCCCACGCACGTGCTTTTTAGACGACAAAAAATGCATCTGGCACATCCCATGGTTCGAGTGACTATTGATATATTCAAAAAGCGTAAAAAGCGTATATATATATATATATATATATAGGAAATTTTAACATTATGGCTTGTCCGCTGTTACTCTTAGACAATGTCAAAGACTCCGTGAAATAAAAGCGATATAGACTGAATATGATAGATACATGGCTTATCAATTGCAACGTATGCATAAATTCCTTGCCTCAGGACCTTCGAAATAGCAGTGATGCTTACGAAGAGTATATAGAAAGTCTAAGTGTTTCTTTGTTCTGCAATTACAGCATATAACGAAAGGTTGTTGTGGCGTTGCAGCAGACGGGATTAGCCTGTCAAACACACCCAGCCATGGTTCAGCCTGAGCCTCTCATATATTGGTAGTATCCGTGCGTCCCTAGGTGTTAAGGAGCCCCGTGTATAGCTGGAAGGCAAACAGCAGTCACCACACTCCTACTGGTTGCCATATACCATCAGGGAAGAACGATGTCTTCAGAAAGGTGATGCCAAAGATTACCACTGCGCAGGCTGTGTACAATCGTTTTTCTTTCCGTATCTAACAGCAGGCATATATAGCCGATCGATATGTGGTGTTTAACGTCCCCAAACCACCATATGATTACCAGAGAGGCCGTTGTGGAGGACTCCAGAAATTTCGACCACCTGGGGTTCTTTAACGTGCACCCAAACCTGAGCTCACGGGCCTACAACATTTAACAGGCATATATAGCCGACTGAAATGTTTTATGTCGATGAAATCACATATAAAAGAGAAAATAAACATTGCATAGATACTAGACTGTACGGAAATACGACGTGTTCAGGCGCATTACTTGAAGAGGTGAACACTACTTGCACAATTAACCACACTGTCCAGGTATATTATATATAGTTAATTGTCTAACTCTTCAATTCGGAAATATAAACTACGGACCATCTCCCCGAAGAGAACTTTTATAAGATGCGAAGCAGCAGCGGTGCGCACGGCGTTGACCCGGTTGAAACGGGCGTAGACGCGGGTGCTGGAAAAACGTTTTGAAGCGAAACTCGGTGTAGCGTTTACTCGAGTAAATGTTTGTTTAAAATGCAAAGACACGGGGGGCGGGACGCGTTGAAGACGCTTGAGCTTGGCTTCCTTGGCTCGCGTCTCGTCGGTGTTGCCCGCGCGCCATCTGTATTGTCGAACGCGATCGGTGTCCTTGACTCGCACCTCGTCGGTGTCGCTGGTCTTCCACTGCCGACGCTTGCGTTCGGCTTCCCTGGCTCGCGCCTCGTCGGTATTGACGTCGTCATTCGCGAACGCGATTGGCTTCGCTAATCCTCGCAATGCCGGCGACAGCCGGGAAAGGTACGCGCACACTAGCGGGTAGCATGCCACAACGGCGTCCTGCCCGTCGGCGCCATCGCGCGCAAACAGCGTCGTGCTGTCAATATTGTCGGCACCGTGAGATTTTTGATGGGCTCGCAGTGCGCGCACCCGCCGGCTCGCGGCTTCTTCTCGCTGACAGATACCTCTCCACAGCAAAACAGTTAGAACAGAAGAGAACAGAACAGAATAAGTGTCATTAAAATACGAAGGCTATTTCATGATAGAAATCTTCAACGAAGGCTACAATCATGAGCATGAATATATAAAGTACTTTTTAAGCACTGCAAATAATAAAGCGTGCAAGGAGGCAAAACTCGGTTAAAAGAAGCATGAAGAATAGCACTTCTGAAGCGGCTTTCATTGCAATATCGTAAGCTAATATGGTTAGCAGGACCAATTTGAAACAATTGCGCTTCACTTTCATCCCTGTCAATTGTTGTGCTTCATGAAGTGGCTGCTTTATTAGCGGTATTCTCGTCTGGATAACACAGTTTGGTTTACACTATAGGCAACACAGGCAAAATGTTACGCTGTGCAGGAAGCGGAGCCAACCTGTTTGCGTCCATCCTGCCCAATGTCTACATGCCACCCAGGGGCTTCTGCTTCGACAAGTACAGCTGCACCACCGACCCGGACGTACTGGTATGCGGCGAAGCTGAAATTCTTCCCACTGCACGTTCTTCCCACTGTTCCCACTGAACATTCTGCACTTAGGGTGCAGAATGTTGTCTTTCCGGAACAAGCCCGAGTTTCGCGTTGGTTACATAATAAAAAGTTTGAAATGCTTACCGATTTGCGCACATTCACGGTGGCTGTTTGTTGCAGGCGGTCGTCATAGATGACTAAAAGGAGCCCTTTTAGAGTTGGAGCGAGACATGGGCTAATACATACTCTAAAGAAAGTAAATAAATGCGGATGGAGCATCTGTCGTTCCGGAAGCACACATACTCCCGAAAACATGATCTGCGGCAACGAATAACCAGATTCCTCCACGTCGACGACTGGTTCTGGCTGACAGATACACCTCAATCCTCTCTTTCCACTTCGTTATACGCCATTAAATTTATTATAGACTGATGAATAAAACTAAATATCTTTTTCAAACATGAAATTGTTTTATGTCAGGGTCGACCTGACTCCGTAACGTACTTTCGTAGTGAATATGACGTAAAATATTTTTAACACATTGAAAAGAAGAAAACGAGAAGAAAAAATTCCGCAGCAGGGCGTTGCACCAACGACTTAGCGCTCTTCAGCGTGCGACGCTAACCACTACGTCACAAAGCGACCCTTCTCCAATACTGTCAACAGTGAGCCATTTATATACACCATATACCGCTGGTAGTCCTCAAATTTCGGCAACTTCAGCGCAATTCCGTCTTCAGTAGTCAGATGACACTACGGGCACACGTTAAGCGCGCGCGCTAAAGGCCTGACCGCGTGCAAACGTTGCAGCGTCTCAGCGTGGGGCTTTCTGACGCGGCGCTGTGCCCTCTCTCTTTAGAAGGAGAGGGCACGTGACTATGCGAAGCCGCGTCAGAAAGCCCCGCGCTGAGACGCTGCAACGGGAGCATGTGGTCAGGCCTTAATTAAAGGTCGTCGTTCCGCGCCTTCCCTGTGCGTCGCTGTGCGCGCGCCTTCACATGGCGTCGTGGTAAAAGTGCATATAGATGTTCTATAGCGTGGTAGCTCACTCGCAGCGCGCTCATCTTGAGATTCGGCCGCTTTGTACCTCTTGTGCTTCCACCACGAGTTTGCTTAGATGCTGCAGTAGTTAAAGACAGCACGAACGTCGTTTCGCTCGCGGCCGCAGTAGCGTTTACGAATGGAGCGCGCTGCTCACACACGAAGAATTAATAATTGTAACCGCTGTTTGCGCTCGACCTGTGCGTTCATGTCGTGCGTCTTTATTTTTGTTTGAACAGCGTTCTTTAAGTGTCGAGCTGTGGCGGTTGTTTGACCGCGCTCGTCCTGTGTATGCTCCTTTCGTGCGTGCTTTGTCCTTGAGGTGTGCACTGCAAGTTTCGAGCTGCTTGCTGTTCTTCGCCTGGCATTGCAGTTTGTTACTGAAGCATTCATGCCTTCGTCCTTGTGGTGAAGCAATGAACAAGGAATGCTCAACTACCTCTGCGAAGGCACGTTTCACTTTCGTGTTATACCGATTCCTGAAAAAAGAGATCAACCCCATTTTTTTCAATATTATTGAGTTTCAGCGAGCATTGTATGCCGCCTTTTCTTTTACACGTGTATCGATTGACGTCGAATATAAGCTCACTTTCGCATGTAGAGTCGCTTCCACGTCTGTGTAGAGAGCACGCGAGCAGCCGGTTTTCTCTCTGCGGGGCGAAACCTTCAGGGAGTATCGGGCTCTCACGTGGTCAGCCTGACAACTAAGCCGCGCATGCTCCTGATACACCACTTCAGATCTCAAAACTGCCTCAAGGTTCCGCCCCACAGAGCGAAAAACCGGCTGCTCGCGTGCTCTATACACAAACGTGGCTACGGCTGTACAATGCATTGTCGAAGGCCTGTGATCAAACGAGAGCAGTAAAGAGTCATTGAGAATGAAGTCCAGCATGCATGTGCTCTATATTATCCGTTTTATATAAAAACTATTTTCTGGGTACAATAAAATATGTTCATTGAATAGCCCGCAAACAGCGACATAAACGAGATGGTACGCAATATTTATCACAAATGGTTAGCATAGGAAGAACTCTTTGAAAAAACCATCGAGCAATCAACACTATAGACATCCGAAAAAACAAATAACACCTTGAAACAAAACGAAAATAAACTTGACCATTCCGCCTTTACATTTTTAATAGTTCAATGTCTGTTGATGAAAATCCGTTTCTGCATGTGCTGTACAGAATTAAGGGTGAATAATGAAAATGTTATCCGCTCTTTCTTTTAATCTTTATCACTTCGCTGCATTTATAGCCATTGAATATCCTCCCTGCATAACAGTGAAGCATTATATGAAGACATGTTCATTTTCTTTCAATGAATGCATGTTGCGAGTCCACGCCATCAATTTTATGTGCGTTTGCAACTGTGTCTCCACTCCCCTCTCCTCCAAAACAAGCAGTGATTCTGTTGGATTGTACTCCTTTCTTCAACCCCCCCCCCTTTTTTATTTTCAGGCCTTCAACGCGAGGACACGGGCTCGAGAATTCATTGACGCTGTCAGAGAATACGTGAGTTTTACAGAGATTTTGCTCTGAAATGCTTCATTACAGCCACCCCTGGAACCTTTTATTCTAGAATAGTAATATATATATATATATATATATATATATATATATATATATATATATATATATATATATATATATATATATATATATATATATTTTATATAATAAAAGCGACTGTAATGGTTTTTAATACCTTATTGGCACGAGGAGCACCGCAACGTAATACCGTAAAGACAACATAAAGTTTACGTCCCGCTGTTGCACCCTTTGCACCGCTTCCTTAAGCGCCACCAACCCTGTTCAGTATACTCTCCGGTTGTTTTACTGCTGAACGTTTTACAATGCCTCACGATTGTGACAGTTTCGTTCACTCAAACTAGGAAACTATGCCTGTAAAATTACTTTTCACAAAACAAAAAAACGAGGGCAGCATTGCTCGATGTATATTGATGTGTACATGTCTATACCCGTATGTTGCTTGCGCTGCATGCTTCGAGCTTTCTTCGGGTAATTTACCAGAGTGCCCGAGTATGCACTCTATGGTGCTGTTCTTTATCTAACGTGACACGCTCACGTAGAAAAAAGACAAACATTCATTGCACGTCCCGACTCCTTGGTTACATAGCGGGGTTCAACCCTATGATGACAAGCGAGGTGAGGAGTATCACGTAGAACGAAGGTCCACCATTTTGTTGACTTGGTCACCCGTTTTCCATCGCTTCTACGGTAACGTGCAAGTTGATTTTGACAGAAGCGCAAATACAAAGATGGGTATTTAGAAAAGGGGCCAAGCACGTAATATGATTTCTCATACAAACAAGCACAATAACGGTGCGCTTTCGTTCCACTTCTATGATCGTAATATCGACAAAAATCACGCCCATTGTCCGCCTTGTTTATATAGGTGGAGGTTACACTGGAACTAAAAGACACGTTACACGTATTTTATTATAATGAAATTTACTTAGTTAAGTAAAGCTTACTTTAAGCAAAACTGCCTTCAGCTATGCTGCGTTTCGGATGGGGTCTATTTCACACGAATGAATACATCTGCGGGCACCTATAAGGCTTCTCCATCGATGCGACGTTATGCGTTATATTCTTATTATTATATAGGACATTGAAATGGTCTGGATTGGTAAGTTTTAGCACATTGAATTCGGTGCCTCCATGTCCGATTTCCATACAATTATTGTATGCATTTTAATGCCTTCTTAACCTCTATCAATTTTTGTTTTGTTCTTCCACTCATATATCACAAAGTCTTCTTGTCACCGGTACCCGCCGTGGTTGTTTAGCGGATGTCGGGCTGTGCTGCAAACAGAGTTGCCATTACAGCTAATGAAAATCAGCTTTGGCCTTTTTTTTTCACCGAGTTGCTTGGAAAACTTTCCAGTCACCTGTCGAGTTTTTTTTTTTGCTTATTTGCAATTTTCTGACAAGTATAGTTATTTTAGTGACCATAAAGTTCACCAATGCACTTTTTTCGTTCACTAATATTGTTTGTCGATGACCGAATAGTTAGTGCATAGGCGTGCGCAGAGTTCCCCATCGAAGGGGGCGAAGGCTCATCTTTCCTCCTCCACCCTACTAAGTCAATGTATGGGCAAACTTTGCGCCCCCACCACTTATAGTGACTAGGGGGGGTGCCCCCCCCCCCCTTAACCTGCCCCAGAGCGTGCGCTTATGGTTCAGTTTCAAACATACGTTGGAGGAAATTCAAATAAACATTCATTCAAACATACGTTGAGGGAAATTACAAGTAATGTTAATCATGCGCTGTAGACAATGCAAAGTAGGGGGAGAAGGGCTATGTGCTTTAGTTCACAGTTGGGTATATTTTCAATGTACAAAACAATTATGTGATTTTTATACTTCACTTCGTATTTAAGTGACATTTCTTTAATGACAATTCAAAATATTCTCAGGAACGAAAAATTTCATTATGTTTCCGCTTCTTCTGAGCTTCCTTCGTGATGAGTATCTTGCTCCATAGCATTTGGCAACACTGGCTACAGAGCACGAGGGTGCAGGTTCGATACTCGGCCGCGGTCCACGCACGACCGCATTTTAATGTGGGCGAAGTGTACTGCGAGCACTCGTGTTCTTGGATAGAGATGCACGCTAACGAACTTCATGGCGGTGAAGACTCAAAATTAATGGAGACTCCCTTACTGCGGCGGGCCTTTTTTGCCTTAAATACCTCACCGGAAGAGAAATTTGACCGTTGGCATCGGCGTTCCGCATTGGTGGCGTCGGGGACGAGCGATGCAAAAATCATCATCACGATATGACGTCACCATATGACGTTACTATTACGAAAGAGATTGCCAAATATATGACATAATAACGTCACAGTGACGCCACGTGACGTAACGTCTCAATGTGATGTCATCACATGCCATCGTAGCTTAGACAAAGGTGCATTTCTGATGGAGGCGGAAATGTTGTAGGCCCGTATGCTCAGATTTGGGTGCACGTTAAAGAACCCCAGGTGGTCGAAATTTCCGGAGCCCTCCACTACGGCGTCTCTCATAATCATATGGTGGTTTTGGGACGTTAAACCCCACACATCAATCAGCTTAGACAAAGGTGGTTCGATCACAGAAGCAGTGCAAGACCACGTCAGGCGCAGATAGTTTTCGATTAGTGGCGAGGCAGCATCAGTACATCAGCTGAGAAGAAAAAGAAGATTGTTTCGACTTCGAGTCGTCTTAAGCACGGAGTTTCCTAATTATACACTTGAGGGAACTCAGGCACTATAGTGTCTATGGGAGCTGCAACGCACGGCGCTTAGCGAGCATGGGAATCATAGGTAGCATTAATAGTAGTACACAGATTTGTCTAGTTTTCGTACTTCTAGCCTGCTTGTGGCTCCGTCTGTTCGTGCGGCTTGGAGCTGTTTTTTCACGAAACAAGTCAACAAATGTTGAGTGGTTGCGCTTCACCATCTTATTTATCAGGCTTATTTTTTTTCAAATTGGGTCACAAAGTTCAAAGGGGTTCGTTCTTTCCTTCGAAACAAAACCGAAACACAGCAATAAACGAAGCCACAAGTGCGATTTGCCACTTGCAAGTACGAAGACTAAGCAAATATATGTCCTACCCATAAATGGTCGCTGAACGATCGCAACAGTGTCACGTGAATGTATAAGAGACCCTTTGAGTTTTTTTTTTTTGATGATCGACCTTTTCTTGTATGCAGAATAGCATGCGACAATGCGCATACACAAAGTTATCTGTTATTAATAAGTTTTTATTCCGTACATCAGTGTGCGCAGTGAAATATGGGAAGCCCTGCGGAGCGATCGTTTTGTATGTGCAGGCCAAGTACTACGACACACGCAACGTGTTGGTGACAATGGGAGGCGACTTGGCGTATTCTAAAGCGGAGTCTTGGTTCGACAACATCGACCGTCTCATCTCGGCCGTCAACAGAGAGGTAATGGCTTCAGTGACTTCGTCGAACCTCTTATTTATTCTTGTTCCCCATAGTATAAACAATGTTCCCCATAGTATAAACAAACAATCGTTTAGCGAGAAAGCTAAGCGCGGCCGTTTATAAACACACGACAGCGTAAATTGTCATGCTTGCAACTGAGAAGCATAGAACCTATAACGAAGCCGCGGCCTCCGAAGTGAACACACGCAGACGTGATAAAACGCTGGTAATTATTGCATTAACCACCGAGTGAACGAGGGCCATTGATGAGAACATAGTGCAGGGGATTAAAAGAAGAGAGTGACAGTTTTTAGAAAGGTTGAAACGCGGTCGAGATGGCACAAACGCGGAGTTTGACAATGGCCTCCTACTGGAGACCCTGTAAGAACACCAAGATTATAAGGCTTGTAATGACTTTGCAAAGACTCACCGTCTCTGATGATCAACTCTCTCTTGAGGAGCATATAGGCGTGAACAAATTAAGGCGAAAGCTGCTTGCACTTCTAGGATTAAAAATATCCCTGTGACTGAAGAATGGTTGCATTCAAGGCTGTCTATCTATCCATCCCATTCCGTCCGTCCGTCCATCCGTCTATCTATCTATCTATCTATCTATCTATCTATCTATCTATCTATCTATCTATCTATCTATCTATCTATCTATCTATCTATCTATCTATCTATCTATCTATCTATCTATCTATCTATCTATCTATCTATCTATCTATCTATCTATCTATCTATCTATCTATCTATCTATCTATCTATCTATCTATCTATCTATCTATCTATCTATCTATCTATCTATCTATCTATCTATCTATCTATCTATCTATCTATCTATCTATCTATCTATCTATCCATCTATCTATCTATCTATCTATCTATCTATCTATCTATCTATCTATCTATCTATCTATCTATCTATCTATCTATCTATCTATCTATATATGTCTATCTATCTATCTATCTATCTATCTATCTATCTATCTATCTATCTATCTATCTATCTATCTATCTATCTATCTATCTATCTATCTATCTATCTATCTATCTATCCGCCTACGACTTCGTGCTCTCGTGGACGTTTCATTAACTGCATCTATGTCAAAATTTCTGTGGCATAACATGATTATATGATGAAGATAAACGACATGTCATAAAAATTTTGATATGCATGTCATGAACAGCATGATTTACCCGCAGCGGTTTAAGAGCTGTCGTAACCATTCCGTTGATATTGTATACCTAGACCGAGATTGGCATGGCCAGACTAGAGTGTATGATGAACCTAAATGACCAGCTATAACATTAAAATTATGACATGGATGTCATGAATGGCATGATTTACATGCAACCGAAACCGTTTCACTGACTTGTTATATGCCAAAATTGAGATGGCGCGACACGACTGCATGACGAACATAACATAGCCGACAGGTTTTAACACATATAGAATAAAAACCTGATATGCATCTTATGAGCGCAGGGGCATAGCCAAAAATTTTTTTCAGGAGTGGCACATCCTTGATTTCAGGGAAGGCACTCTCTTAAAATGGTAATTTTCGCCCTGCATGCCATGGCGAAAAACATTTTGGAGGGGAGGAGGGGGCACGATTTTGGTGTGCCACTCTCTGGCTACGTCACTGCATGTGGGTGATTCCATGAGAGATCGACACGGGTCCGAAAGTTGATATTTTAGATTTCTTTGAGTATTTTATATTTCGTGCACCTCTCACCAGGTAGCCCGAAAGTCAACTTCGTTTTATGATTAACGGCATAACTTACGAGAAAGAAAAAATCAAACTTCACCAATACGGAGGCACCAATTTCGTCACCTGTCATTTTTGAAAATTGCAAATGCTATAAAAATACAAATATTTTTGTTTTAAAGAAGATATTTTTTACATGAAATGCATGTCTAATGAAGAATGAATTCAAGCGGTTTCAAGTTTGTAGACCTTAAGAAAATAGCTTTTAAAAATGTCTAATTTTGCGACAGTTTGAAATAACTTACGTATTCCCCATTTTTTTCCTCCGAAAGTAATGCAAGCAGCCTTTTCAAACTTGACACGTTTTAAGGATATAGTGTTTTCATTAGGTACATAAATTATTGCTGCCGTAGGGCAAATGTAAGTTTTTATATATTTCCTCAAAATTCTCATATTGGCAAAAGTGTATTCCACTGAAATTTGAATAATAAAAAAACAACATCTTCAATTTTTCTTAAAATCTCGTAAATAGACAACCGAAGGCCATAACACAGTAATATAGGAAAAGATAATGCATTATTTTGTTTTTAGCGACAATATTCATGGTACAAATCAGAGCTTTTCGAGAATGCGCTGATAAGTTGAGAAATCTAGAAATCGGTACGGAAAAGCGGCAATAAGCTTCAAACGCGAGTAAACGTGACCGCATTTGGTGAAGAAAGGCTGTTTTATCACTGTGACGAATACGTACCCATGAAGGCATATTTATGCTCCTGATAACACAGCTCTAATGGAGGAAATCTTCGACACTGTAACTCAGTTGCAAAACATCTGTCTATATTTGCAGACAGATGTTTATCTTTGCAGACGCCAGGCGAAAGAGAACCAAGAAAAAGAGTCTTGCATTTTTCACTTTGATTTTGCCGAAAATTGGACAGAAATTTTACCGAATGAGGTAAAGTCGTATCACTGGCACAAAAGACAGGTGTCTATATTCACGTGTGTCGTCACAAGGAAGCAATCAATTCAAAGTTTTGCCGTTATCAGTGATGACACATGCCATGATGCTGCACATGCCTGTTTTGCTCTACAAATAATCCACAAGTATATGAAGGAACAACTTAAGCCTTACACGCATGTTACTTATGTTTCTGATGGTGCATGCAGTCACTTCAAAAACAAGTACCAGTTGTTCGAGTTATGTCAGAAAGATCATATATCAACAAAGTGGATTTTTTCGGCCACAGGACATGGCAAGAACTCTTGTGACGGCGTTGGTGGCTTACTAAAGCATCAGGCTACGCTCTAAAACCTCAGAGCGGCAAGCTCAGCTGTGATAATGTCAGCATCCCAAATTGTGGTGCAAATGAGCGCGAAGCTCAAGAATGTCAAGCTGCTGTGCGCAAATGCAGACGAGCTAGAAACATTCCGTCAGTTTAAGAAGAGCCAGTGGAAATTGTTGCCACGTGTTCCAGGCATTCATTTTTGGTATGTTTGGCTAAGCACATCTGAGGGCACTGATCGTGGTCGTGTTTTGTTAGCGTCACGTACTGCTAAATGTGATTTGCAAAAGATGCAGCCATTTTGAGCGCATCTCTTGTTTCACGCAGTCATCACCAAAATACCAGTGAGGGCACTTCAAGCGCATATGCTTTTTCTAGCGAGACCCAACACTTGTGTTGGAACATTTTCATGTTTGAGTTTATCTGCAAATATAGACAGATGTTTTGCAACTGAGTTACAGTGTCGAAGATTTCCTCCATTAGAGCTGTGTTAACAGGAGCATAAATGCGCCTTCATGGGTACGTATTTGTCACAGTGCTGATTGATTGATTGATTGATTGATTGATTGATTATTGAGGTTTAACGTCCCAAAACCACCATTTGATTATGAGAGACGCCGTAGTGGAGGGCTCCGGAAATTTTGACCACCTGGGGTTCTTTAACGTGCACCCAAATCTGAGTACACGGGTTTGTCACAGTGCTAAAACAGCCTTTCTTCACCAAATGTCGTCAGGTTTACTCGCGTTTGAAGCTTATTGTCGCTTTTCAGTTCCGATTTCTAGATTTATCAACTTATCGGCACATTCTCGAAAAACTCTGATTTGTACCGCAAATATTGTCGCTAAAAACAAAATAATGCAACATGTTTTTCTATATTACTGTATGATGGCCTTCGGTTGTCTATTTACGAGATTTTAGGAAAAATCGAAGATGAAGTTTTTTTATTATTCATATTTCAGTGGAGTACACTTTCGCCATAATGAGAATCTTGAGGCAATATATAAAAATTTACATTTGCCCCACAGCACTAATAATTTATGTACCTAATGAAGACACTATATTCTTAAAACGTGTCAAATTTGAAAACGCTGCTTGCATTACTTTCGGCGAAACAAAAATGGGGAATACGTAACTTGTTTTAAACTGTCACAAAGTTAGACATTTTAAAAGCTATTTTCTTAAGGTCTACAAACTTGAATCCGCATGAATTCATTCTTCATTAGACATGCATTTCAGGTAAAAAGTATCTTCCTTGAAACACGGGCCTAAACATTTCCGCCTCCATCGGAAATGCAGCCGCCACTGCAGGGATTTGATCCCGTGACCTGCGGGTCAGCAGCCGAGTACCTTAGCCACTAGACCACCATGGCGGGGCAACGACAAGTGGCTGTAGCGTGCATCAGAAAGTTGCACCCTAAGACAAGATTTCTGTGAGATAGCCAGTATCAAGAAAAAAAAACGATGAAAGAAAGAATACGGATCTTTCAAACTGCCTATTCCCGACCGAAGAAATTTGGCGCTTTCTTCTCACAGAGTCGGGCCACCTCCACAACAAACCACCAGCCACGTTATTAATGGGAACAATCTCCCATGAGATATGAATAGTGATAGTGGCGTACAATGGAGTTTAAGGAATCACTGCAAGATTTCGACATATGCTGTTGGCATCCGACTTGGGCCCTTGCCAGTGTGCGAAATACTGTCTTTGGCAGTGGAGAACAGGAAAAGCGGTTGCTTGCAATAAGCATATTTGAGGACGCTGCTTTCCGATGGAGGCGGAAATGTCGAGGCCCGTGTGCTCAGATTTGGGGGCACGTTAAAGAACCCCAGGTGGTCAAAATTTCCGGAGCCCTCCACTACGGCGTCTCTCATAATCATATGGTGGTTTTGGGACGTTAAACCCCACAAATCAAACAATGAGGACATAGCAGGTGGGAGGGTAGTCACGTGCTATGTTTTGTATTTTGTGGGCTTTTTTTTTACTAACCGGGAAAAAAATGAGCCCTCGATTAAAAAGTTGTTGAAAATGGCACAGTTATATGTATTCTGAACATATCTACGTGTGCCTCATTAGCATTTTGATAATTGCTTGAGTAACTGTCAAGTTACTCAAATAATTATAACTAATTAATGAAACTCATCTAATAAAAATATAGTGGTGAAATTTGCGTGGTGGAACGGTAAGCGCTATATTACTTCAAGATAGTACGCTGAGACCACGGTTCCAAGCCATATATTTAAACGTGCACTTAGAGCAAGGTAAAAGCCTAACGTCATTCTTTTGGTTCATTTTCAATGATATCGTTCATAGACTCACAGCTGCGAATAAAGCTGCCTGAGAGCGCTTTATCTGCAGGAAGCAAGGACGCAGAAAAGCATGAGAACTGCAAGCACTATGAGAAGATACATATGTTCCCAGTAAGATACAATGCAGAGAATTCACAAAAGAGCCCATAAAATCACGATGTGAAATTCACAGGACGAATTTTAACAAAAGCTTTTTAATAAGGAATAAATAATAGGGAAGATGACAGCGGGAATATTTGTTCGAAGCGATAATTTGACTTTCAAGATAACTTGAAAGCAATCGTGTGTGTGTGTGTGTGTGTGTGTGTGTGTGTGTGTGTGTGTGTGTGTGTGTGTGTGTGTGTGTGTGTGTGTGTGTTGTGTGGTGTGTGTGTGTGTGTGTGTGTGTGTGTGTGTGTGTGTGTGTGTGCGTGCGTCATTGCGTATGTGCCACGGCATCAACGGCAACAACGTTGCCACGGTATGAATGACGGATTGCTGTGCCGTGTCATGTAATAGCTTTTCTACCTAATCAATCCTGATAAAGGGCTATATACCACCATGCGTTTTCCTTACCTTTTCGTATAGAAATACAGAAAAAGTAAAATAAACGGAACTCAACAATTTACATTGTAAGTTGTAATTTAAGAATATCTGTTTTGTAAAAAAAACGTACGTTAAAAAATAGTGCATAAGTGCCTTTAATTTCATAAGTAGTCCTTGGATTATCTCATAATGTGTTCCGGTAAGACAAATTTGAGTGTGGTAAACAATGCGGTAAACAAGCAGTGCCCGATACAGCTATAGTTCAGCTGACTGTCTGATGATTCCCAAGGACTCAAAGAGTGATAACGACATAGAAACAGGGTGTTAAAAAGTGTGCTTAAGAACCACTAATAATGTGGCCCATTATTAATAAAGAGTGCGTTCAAATAGCTGCTCAGTGGTGTTTCAGAGTGGTGCCGTGCATGAGTTACACTCAAGTGTTATGTTCGTTTTGCGATTGTTATAAAACAAAGTAAACGTTGAGCTTACAGAATAATAGTTCGCGAAGTTAGACTGTACAGGTATGTTAGTTTAGATCAAAATAAATATTTTGATTAGGCTCGTGCGAATATTGAAATCTTTCGAATACTCGAACAAATAATGAAGTTTTTTTTCACTTTGAATAGACTTTTATATATAGAAAATTTTGCATTATTCAAATTCGCATTAATGCACATGTAACACTCTATAAAGGTGATTTCACTGCAGTAAAAAATGCTAAACCGTGAAAGAACTTATCCATGTGTATATTAATTCGCATGTAACCTATTGTGAAATTGGTAAGCCGTTACACACTCAACTAATGCTTATAGTTTACGCTAATATGTGAAAACACGTATTAAAAGCAGCACTGTCGCGAAGCTTCACTTAAAAGGGAAATGAAGGTATTATCGTCACACCAATTTAATTTTAAAACTTAAAGTCTTCTTATACGTACTTATATGCTCTAAGTATAGTAAATTTAAAAACGTAACATATTTTACAGCTAAACTCGTTGTTTGTCTAGTTGGTTCGCATCCACGAAGTGTGTGTAAGCGCAACAGACAAGGACAAGGAATAGACAAGGACCCAGCGCTATTTTCAACCGATCTTGTCTGTTTTCTCCTTCGCCCCTGTTTGTTGCGCTTACACACACTTCATGCATATTTTACAGGTTATCACTAGCATTTTGCTGGTCGAATCCTGCTACAATTCAAAGTTGGTTCCACTTCCTTTGATGCAAAAATATGGCATTTGCACATGCCTCGTTTCAATTACAAAACTACTGTACAGGTTAGTTAGGGTCATGACTCATGACAAATGTGCTTGCTTTTCTTTAATATGAAATATATATACTATATTGGAACTGAATTTGAAACTATTTGACCAATATCACTGTTTTATTTGAACTTCTAATTCACTATTCGCACAAGCCTAGTTGTCATGCGACGTTTCAAAATTTATAATGACACTTTATGAGGTATCACGTACCAAAACCACGGTATGTTTATGATGCACGCCGTAGTTGGCATAGACTTCTGAATAATTTTGGCCCCTTTATTTTTATTGCGATAGCAAATACGGACACTAAGCTGGATTTCACCACCAGCGTTAGCGTCGATGCCATGTACCGTATATGTGTACGTATCTATATGTATGAAAACACAAGAAAGACAAAAAAATCCCAGAAACAAAGACTCCGGCGCGCAGAATCAAACGTGGGACCTCCGCGTCGTGAATGCAAGGAGTTAATCACTGAGCCAAGAGGGATACCTCCTTCAACGTTTAAACGACAAGCTATTCATATCTACCACTTACCGCTGTTGGTGGGCATCTCCGGGTGGGGGGAGGGGGGGACTATCGTGTTTTCATCATTATCAGCAAGATGGCGCAGTGAGCACGCGGCGGTTCTCATCTCTCACGTATACTTTGGCCCACGTAGAGAATAGGGGGGTGTACGATCGATCGCGCGCCCTTATCTTGCAGTGGGGAAAACTGTACGTCTTGGGTAGCCTTTAGATTTCGTCTGAATGATTTTGTTGTAGCTACCGGTCACACAAAGGTCACTGCAATCGTTACACAGCCTCCGCTTGTGAAAAGAGCGCGCTTTTCAGACACAGGAAAGTAACAAGTGAGACGCTTATTCGCGTTCATATGTACCTGTAAGTACGTTTCGTGTATCATTTGTGCGTCAGAAACGCGAGGCATGTTTCGATCTACTTGCCATTCAGCGCGTGACTTTTTGCGTGACAAAGCTGTGTCACGTGATTTTTTTGCGTGACAAAGCTGTGACTTTATTTTTAAAGTATACGTCAATGCAATCGCACTGATGTTCTTGCATTTCTCAAAGACTCATGAGCCAAAATAATAAATTTAGTGTGTACTGAAATGCCGCGTAAACTTGTGAGGTCAAATTTACAAAACTATTCGTAAGTGTTATCGCTATTGGTGACCGCCTCCTCTAATATATCAGCATCGGGATTATCTGGACTGTATCATTGAAGAGTTGAAGGATTTTGATCGAAGATTGAAGGACAATTTTAGTTGAAGAATATGGGTGTGCTTCCAAGTTACGGTACATAAAAAAACTGATCTGAAACGCAAATCAATCAGTAAATAAATCGACCAATCGCAGGCTTCCAGTGCGAGCATCAGGCTGCAGGCATTCTACTCAAGCCCATCATGCTACCTGAAAGCCCTGCATGTGGCCAACCGGTCATGGCCTGCGCACACACGTGACTTCCTACCTTACGCCGACCGGCCGCAGGTGTACTGGACGGGCTTCTACACCAGCCGGCCCACCCTCAAGCGCTACGCCAGGCACTCCAACGGATTTCTGCAGGTCGCCCGCTTGCTGACTTCCTTTACGCACCACAACGGCACTTTTGTTGTTTGAATCCGCCGTTCAATCGGCAGAGCTAAGCATTATAAGCAATATGTATGGGCTGCTCGATGACTTATGGTTTGACCTCTGCGCGCTCGTACAGACCACTGCTAAGACACCTGCTTTCAGTTAACTGTTCCCGCAAATCAGATGTTGTTAAACATTAAAATAAATGTTTTATGTGACACGTAAATGCCGCAGTAGGAAAGAGAACAGCAAAGAAAGAAGGAGATGTCAAAGTGAGGTCCAGTATGCTGTCTTGCTGTTTGAAATGGCAGTGTGGAATAGAGAGAGCGGATAATAAAAGCTTGATGATAGGAAATACTTAGTGATAGGCAACAAAATGCCACGTAACCCCGTCATTTAAAAGAAAGCCTTTCCCATATCTCATCTATAGATAATTTCGGTGGGGGATTTGATGTTAACATTCAAGAGATTTGGGCGCTACGAAGGATCACACGAGTTTGGCGAAACTCGGGATCCTTGAAAGCTCTGGCAACACCCCCCTTCGAATGAGCCAACAGTGCGAAAAAGTAAAATACACCTCTCAGCCCACTGCGCCTTATTAGTTAAGATAAAACCCGGCATCACGTCAAGGACGGTCGACTAAGCTGGGCGGTGTTTTCAAACCAGGCATCTTCTTTCACTTGCTTGTCGTTCTACTGATTGCAAAAGTGCACCCATCCAATAAAGGTGTCAGAAGATTTTTCTGATGATATTTTGTAAAGGCACAAGCTGTTTATCATTTTGAAGCTTTTACTGCCCGAAATATGTCTGCTTTAGAATAATCAGCGCGGTGGCCTCTGAGATTCGTTCCCGCTAAGCGCCTCACAACATCGCGACCACAGCTAAACTTGAGACCACTCGTTAATTATCATGGTCAGCCTGTACATTCTAGCGAGCTGCCGGACCAGTGCGCACCTTCTTTGTCGTCTTTATTGTCCGCTAGCACACGAGCACCTGCGATGGCTAATTAGCTATTTGGCTGGGCAAGTTAGGCCAGCATATGCTATGACCAAGGTAATTAAGCCACCCCGTGGTAAGACCGAGGTAATTACGTAACATTTTATTAAGACCATGACGCTGAAGCCATACAAAGATGCTAACTAAACATGCGAGTTGACTCACTAACTAAAACATGCTAATTAAAGCGACGTTAATCTTGAACACGCTAAGTAAAATCGTTCTAATTAGACCTTATTAGTATAAAGACTATTAGGATCGTGCTAATAAAATTACGTTAAATAACTCTATACCTAATAAATACATAGCTACTTGCACCCGAGATAATTATTGACGTTTTAATTAAAAGATTAATAACTGAGAGAACACTGTTCAGTGTTATGTTTCAAAGCTCTAGGCATTTATTACAATCAAAATAAAGATAGAGCTCATGCGGCCTTCACTTTGAAGCAGACAAAAGACCAAGCAGATGAGTATACGACCGAATTGAAAAGATGGAAAAGCTATATATTGTATCACAAGCTCATCTATGGCAGTGCATGCAAGATGACCAAATTATTGTATATGCAAAGCAGCTGGTGTTTAGCGCCCACCGCATCAAATGCTTGACAGGAACACAGGATACTACGTATCGCGATCAATTTTACAGTATAGTCACGACGTAACCACTCACAGCCGCATTGCCACCATCATGCGAGCACCCCTGGTGACCTGCTGTCCATATATGTATCTGCAATACTTAATGGAAGCAAAATGAGCAGCACGAGAGTGCTACGTGTACACCCTTGCCGCCTTCTAGAGTTGAAATTTTCATGCTGCAGGTGGAACGAAAGAACCTGCCCGAAAAAGAGCAAACATCCACGAACACGCCAGTGGGAGGCGGGTGTTGGCAAAAAGATAGCACCACAATCAAGCTGACGGTTCTGCACTGCTGAAGTTCTGACTGAGTGGCGGCGCTGACGTGCACGCGCGCGGTGTTTCCTTGATCAGCACAGCACACGTTAAACATGTGTTTCTGACGCCGCGCGCGTTCTTGTAGCCATTTTTATCAGCGCCGCTATCACGCGCTCCGCACTGTCTTGATTCCATGGCTGCAGTAGAGCGAGCTCAGAGCAAACTCGTATGCCCGAGAAGCGTGTGCCATCCTACATAGAACCCTGGATTGCCAGAATCACTCAAATGTGAATTTTATAGATTTCGTTCCACGGTTAGGTTTCATCACATGGGGGGCCCATAGGGTGCCCAACAAACATCGAATACTTGAGACCATTCCCGTCTCAGTACCTTACCTACGTTAATCGGAATGACTGACAGTGCGGCATGCAAATTTAGCGGTTCCGACGAAAATATCGAACACCTGCTGTGTCACTGCCCTCCATTTGCCTCAGAGAGACAAGTGCTTGCCAACGCATTGGGCGAACTGGATGATCGGCCCCTTTCTGAGCAGGTGCTACTACAGCACGGTCCATATCTCTCGACAGCCCGCGAGGCAGTGCTCATGCTTTTTGAGGACGACTGGTTTGTGTCAATGGCTCTGGCTTGCCGCGGAGTTCTTCACGCTGAAGTGAATTCTCTCTCTCCTTTTTTCCTTCTCTTTTCCCTTCCTCTTTCTTGTCCCCTTTCCTGATCCCCAAGTGTAGGGTAGCCAACCGGATGTCTTTCTGGTTAACCTCCATGCCTTCTCTCTCTGTTTGCTTCCTTCTCTTCCTTCCTACCCGAACAAAACGTTATTTATTGCAATAAGCAAACAAGTGATGCGAGTACATTTCGTTTCCTGTGAAGCCGCGAACCACTAGGACCGCGTCCGCGTGTCCGCGTGTTCGAGATCACTGATTTATGGGTACCGTATAATGCATTTCCATAGGCGAGAGAACAAAATATAGAAAAATAAATAAATAAATAAATAAATAAAGAGAATTAATCGTTCCGAACTCTTCTACGAGCATGCCACGCAGAAGCACAGGGGTTCATCGCGTGTCTGCAGAATCTCGTTCCCGGCGCCATCACATGATTGCTGAGAGGGTGTAAGGGGGGACACCACAGCGCCTTACCAGCCTCTTGCACAGGCCCGAATGCGCTAGCTCGTGAGCGCGTTCTGGCAGAGCTTGGGCCAGCTGTTGCGCATGTGCAGTAAGGGTGGTCACGCACACCGCACTCTGCTCGACCATAAGCTGCTTCGCATATGAAAAAGAAGGAAAGAAAGAGATAAATAGGGAGAGAGAGCTTCAAGAAGGCCTTCCTAGGCTTTGCTTGGCTTTCTCAGGCTTTCCTCTCTGGCTTGGCCTGGCTGGTATGCAAAGGAAGGCCGTCACGCTCCGGTCTTCCTTCAAGCTTGGCACCATACTTGAATGTAACGGCGATCATATGGTTCGCCACAAGGTTCAGTCTCACTGAGTTGACGACATATGCATGCATCTTACACAAAATATAAACGTAGGGACATGTACGCGATGCACAAGGTTTGGTGCTGAGCACTGTTTTGGATTCTAGAACCAACAATTAGGCACTACTAATTCAACTATCGACTCAAAATCAAGACACTATATACTCGAATTCCAAGGTTCAGATCACCAGATTTACAAGCTTATTCGAATTCCGGAACCAAGTGTGAGACACACAAAGTAAAGTTCGTTGTCTGCGTTAAATTTCACTGGGAGTTTGCTCCGTTTCGCTACACAGCATCTTTAGAAGCAAATTATTTTTCATTTGAAAAAATACATACGAAAGGGGGGGATTCTGTGCTATGTATACATTCCCAGTCTATTTTTTTTTTCTATCTCCGGCGTGACGATAGCGATGCATTCAGTCATTACACATCTAAGTCTATTACTTCACAATACTGTGAAGAAGAGTCCTTACATTTTTTTCAGCATTGCAAAGATATGAAAAATTACACCTGTTTACTGCATCAAATAATGTGCAACCACCCTGTATTCATCTTTTTTTCACAGGTTTGCAAACAAGTCGGTGTTACTGCGGGACTTCGGGCATCTGTACTGAAATTCAGTAAGTGATGCACAGTTGAACATCTGTATACTAAATTACACGTGACCGCGATACAGCGTGAAAGTACTTGTATGCGGTGAATACGATAAGTGGCGATGGCGTGAAACTGTATCTATAAATTAAAAATTACATTTATCTCAATTGAGGGTCATGTTATAGTGCTTCTAAGTTGGACCAGATACTTATCTTCTATTATATTAAAACTGTGCTTAAAGTGGCAGTAATAAGAAAAGCAGCAATAAAAAAAGAAAATAAAGTCACATTCGGCATGACTGTTTTTAATGTTGGGGTTCTTTCACTGCTCAGTTTCTTGTATCATGCATATTTCAACTTTCCGCCACAATTTTATCACGCAAGACACGCTTCATTACGAGTTTCATACTGAGAAAGCGGTTTTATTATACGAGACACTACGATAAACCAGTGAGATCAAAAACACAGTTAAACTAACTTTGTTTTTTTTTATTTCAACCTTTGGGCCTACGAAATCATGCCGTAACCATGAAGATGAACTACCCAGAAATGTTCGCTTTACATGAAATTTCATGGCAATGGCATAAAAAAAAATTCGACTTTAAATAGAGTTTTCTCCACCTCAAGAAGTCACGACAACAGTTTCGCC